GATTGGTATCGATCATATTGTTGTCTTTATAAACAAGGTAAGGATTCTTGCTAAATGTAGTCGGTACAGATATTAACGGTATTCGAGCAAAGCAAGATTTGTGTTTATCTGTTTAAAAAGATTGATGCCGCAGACGATGAAATGGTCGAATTAGTCGAGATGGAGATACGGGAGTTATTTACAGAGATGGGTTACGACGGAGATAAACTACCTATTATTAAAGGCAGTGCGCTCTGTGCGTTGGAAGGTACCAAACCAGAGATAGGAAAGGAAGCTATAACGAAGTTACTGGATGCCGTGGATTCCTTTATTCCGAATCCGGTTAGAGATTTGGATAAACCGTTCCTATTGCCCATAGAAGGCGTTTACTCGATCCCGGGTAGAGGGACTGTAGTCACCGGCAGACTAGAACGCGGAAAGTTGAAGAAGGGCACTGAGTGTGAAGTGATTGGATTCAATAAGATTATCAAAACCACCGTAACGGGAGTAGAAATGTTTCATCAGATATTAGAGGAAGCACAAGCTGGTGATCAAATGGGAGCTTTACTGAGAGGTTTGAAACGAGAGGACGTCAGAAGGGGCATGATACTGTGCAAGCCCGGTTCGATAAAAGCTAACGATCACTTGGAGTGTCAGCTGTATATGCTAACCAGCGCGGAAGGAGGTAGAAAAAGACCCATAAACAACTATATGCAAGTACAGATGTTTTGCAAAACGTGGGATGTTGCGACCCAAATTACTTTAATAGGTAAAAGTATAGCTATGCCTGGTGAAGATTTCCCGTAAGTATTACATGCTTTCACAGATTGTCAATTACCGTTGAATGCTTGTATCGAATACTCTTTTATTTTTAGAGTTGAATTGAGGTTGATAAGGCCGATGGTGTGCGAAAAGGGACAGCGATTTACCTTACGAGACGGATCGAAAACTTTAGCTACCGGAGTAATCACAAATGTTTTGAAACCGCTTTCGGAGCAGGATCGTAACGCGATACTCGAAGGCAAGAAGAAAATTCTGAAAGCGGCGGCGGCAGCACAAAGTTAAACTAATTGTTTGTGCATTTATTGTATATTACATTTAATATTTTGTTCCTCGATAATGACATTTAACGAAAGAAGATCAACTATAGTCAATTCCTGCCATCAAAATTCACGTATTAACGTCTATTAGTAGAGTGACGAGAAACGGTTTCATTAATTTCATATTCGTGTATACATTTTTCTTGAATTTATTTTAGCTTTCTGTTTCCAATTAATTTCAACAAGTTAGCTTTTTAATATATTGATTCTGTTAAATAATACATGATCATGAATGTACGTGTATCGCCATAGTTTAGTTATACACAATTCAAAAATATAACTTACACATACCATTAAATAAACTGTTCTTGTATAACATATTGTTCTCATTTATCATCCTCATCCATCATTATTATGAAACAAATGATCGTAAGTGTTGATTAAGTACACCTACACCTTTTCTTCCCCCATAATTTATCGGAAGTGGATTGTATTAGCGCAAAGCTTCAAGCACGTACAAACATTTCGAGAATATATAATTTTAAAAAACAGTTCAGTGATGATTTATTTAATTCAATACATCAACGGTACAAGCTGCTTTAAGCAGAATTTTGAAACATTCGATAATGGATGCTTCTTCGCTTTTTCAAATTTTTCCACTTTCTGTTCAACGACAGAAATTTTAATAATATTCACGTACACGTTTTAATCGTGCACTCGCGTACACTTTCACGAATAAAACAAAGGACTTGGGGAAAAGGAACATGTGCAGTGCTTAATCTGCCTAACAACGAAACTGATGTTTTGTATAGAAAAAGAAAAAACACTGTTTATATAATTTAAGTTGAACAAATCATACATTCACCTTCTCTTATAAAAATAATAAACAGTTCTTATTATCGTGGACAGGCGCAACTGACTACAAACCGTTCTTCATTCCAATCGAACCATTGTTTCATGTGAAAACACTATGGCTGGGAGTCGCTAATTTGCTCGCACAAATGATTGCTGCACTGCTCAGCCAATTGATACACACTAATCATTGATACCTTTTTATTAGTTCATTATCGCGCGACCAGCATGTGAAGTAGCGGCAAATGTTAAAGTTATCAATTGGTAAAAAGTCTGGACTATTTTGACAGCTCCGATTTGTTATTTTTCTGTATGTGTCTGTGTGTACATATACATATATATATATATATATTTGTAAATGTTAAACGTCAGCGTTCTGTATTAACTTCGAAAGATTCTTTCTTATAGAATTAATTCTTCGTCAAATTTCACAAATTAAAGGAGGATAACCGTTTATTCGAAAGCCGGTAATTTACTTATTACGTTCCCTTGCAAAATACGATTAAATTAGAAAGAGGAAATGAAGTGTGTTAAAGCGAGCCGCAGGTTCATCTTTTACCAGTAAATTATACACATCGAGGTTACAATACATACATCGTTCCACGCGACACATACGTGCACTCGAGCATACGCATACATATTACATAGACAGAGGAATCTTGAGTATCGAATGAATTTTTTTAGCGACAAGGCTGTAAATCCTGATATCGTGCATTCTTGAAATTGTGCTTCCAAAATCAATGAGAGAAACGCTGAATTGTACAGTATTCGTTCAAGATTAGGCTTCACGAACAAAAATTCTTATGCACGTGAAAATGACGTTCAATTCCTACATCCTTCCTGTAAGTTTGAAATACGCGAAATCGCAGAGACATTTCTGCTATTGTTTACGTTAGTTATTGAACCAAACTATACGTGAATGTTAATCCCTTCAAAGAAAGAATCTTCGACCTATGGAGAGGCACGAGTACACGACGTACCATATACGCGGATGTACAAATTTGCCCCGGTTTATAACGTACACGCGACGTAACAAACTAAAGATCTTCGTCGTCTTCTGGTAATGCAGTTTCCTGGGCCTCCTTGAGGTCTTTTTCGATTTGTTGCTGCCAGTGTGGATCCATCGTAACTTCGGGAGGAAGGAGAGCTGGCATTGCGACAAACTCTAAATTAGGATCCCCGATCAGCTTGCGCGCCAACCACAGGAAAGGTTTCTCAAAGTTGTAATTACTTTTCGCACTGATATCGTAGTACTGAAAACATGTATTAAAACGTTAATTTCCATAAAAACACAAAACTTATAAGATATTAGAAAGTCTGAATATCAATCAGATTAGAAGGACAAGACATCACTATTAATAAGATTACAAGTTATCATCATAGGTGATCGAGGGAAAGGAATAAAAGAAATAAACGTAGGAAATTTCCAAGTTCCTTACCTGCAAATTCTTTTTTCTGTGGAAAACGATGCTCTTGGCTTTGACCTTTCTGTCTTTGATGTCAACTTTGTTACCACAAAGTACGATAGGAATATTTTCGCAAACTCGTACCAAGTCTCTATGCCAATTGGGTACATTTTTGTACGTTACTCTTGATGTAACATCAAACATGATGACAGCACATTGTCCTTGAATGTAATAACCATCTCTAAGACCACCAAACTTTTCTTGACCAGCTGTGTCCCAAACGTTGAATCGAATCGGTCCTCGATTCGTATGAAAGATCAAGGGATGCACCTCCACGCCTAAGGTGGCAACGTATTTTTTTTCGAATTCACCAGTCAAGTGCCGTTTGACGAAAGTGGTTTTCCCGGTACCACCGTCTCCAACCAAAACGCACTTGAAGGTTGGAATATCAGCTTCTTGTGCCATTTTCCTTATGTCGCTAACGATTTGAAAAGTAGATCTGAAAAAGCAACGACGAAGCTTGGTGATAGGTGCGAGTCGTTAATCGAAGAAAAGAATTTCACAGGATGAAATGTTTACATGTTCAATTAAATATCGTGCTGAAACGATTAGTCACGTTATCGTACGCGTGACAAAACTTTTCAGTATTTCGAAGTTGCTGGAAAATGCTAGATCGTATCACGCATTAAAAACGTGATCGGCAATTCACCCGTTAAATAGAACTTGAAGAATCTAAAACGGTACGATTCGTTAGCCTTTGAACAAACAAACCGATGAAACTGCTACTTTATCGTACTTTCGACGTTAATTTGGAAAGCCGGTTTAGCCAACGTCCCGCGCTCTCGGCCAAGCCGACGTTACGTACCACTTCACCACGTTCCGCAAAAAGAATGGCGCCTATGCTTGTAACACAAGCTTTCGCACTTATCTTATGACACGATTACCTACTATTTTATTCCAATTATACACGATCGAACAAACTAATGATTAATTTATAAAAAATGTATGAAAATACGATAGTATTGGTACAAAATTTCCCGGCAAGCAACGTGTACGTGAAAATGACCGATAAAACTTACTCTGAAACACAGTCGTTACGGTTCACAATGGCGTTCCTTCGACTGAACGATAGGGGTCCGCATTCTCACCATTCGTTATTTCAACATTAGACTCAAATTAAAAGAATTTTTCCATCGATACGATATTAAAAAATTGAACTTCTGTAGTTTTCGGGTTCAATTGTTAAAATTATGAGTAGGTAATTAATTTTTTCTAAAAAATTGTAATAAGAAGATATCGCGGTATAGCGACATCTATTTTAGGCGCGCCACATCGAGCCGGTACCGAAGATCTTTAGTTTTTCACGAGAGGATCAGATTCTATGGACGTGGAACCAAGTACTGGCGTACGAGGGCGCGTTGAGTTGATACGGCGGTAAATATTAAATTTATGATAGCACGAAGTTTACAGGTTGTCGTTTATCTTCGATCGTTCAAATTAATGTTAGCGAACTGATCTGCGAGTATGAAATTGACGCGATAAAAAGAATAATGACAAGAGGAATTTCAATTTTCTCACGAAGCAGAATGTTCCGTTATGATGGTTTTTTTCTCTTACTATAAACGGTACGTGCAAAAGCGTGAAATATCAACGGAAACGCGTGGTCAGAACGGGGCTACAAAAAGACGTAGATTCTGCCCTGGGCAGAGTTGACGTCAGCGACGCATGCGCGTCAGAACGGACGGCACTGCAGAAGCAGGCGAGTTCGCGAGTGTATCGATTTTACGATCGTGTCTCTCGCCGCTAGTGCGTCCGTTTCCTTTAGTTTTTAGTGGCCGTGCTCGTAGTACATGGATAAAATCGTGAATGGGATTAGTCGCTAGTCTCTTCACTCCGTACACCCGCTGACTCGCAACACTTCGTCACCCTCGCCATGACCAAGGATAGATTAGGAGCCCTCGTCGCGGTGAGTGTCGAACAGCTACGTATATTTTTCGAAAGCAACCTGAAACAACCTGACAACTAATTTGCCCGTTAACTCTCTATCTCTTTTTCTCTTTCTTACCTTCCGCTCTTTTCACATCCTCTTTTCCTCGCTCCGTCTTCCTTTCCCGTCACTCGCTCTTTCTCTTTTTCTCTTCCCATCACTCTATCTTTTTCCCCCCTTTCTCTTTCTCTTTACGCATCTCCTTTATCTCTCTAACTGGCGCGCACTTTCTCTCTCTCTCACATACAGATCTCTACATTTCCCTGAGTTCGTTAATAAAATATCCTTGTCCTTCCCTGCGATTTACGTTTTATAAGGTGAATCGAATGGTGACTAAGCCTGTGTCTGGTACATAGTCATACGTGCAACTCGTTGTTGCTCCTTTCGATGGGATCAAAATTTTCTCCATTTAAACGTCTGTCATCGAACAAATCGATGCTCGTTCGGATTTCATTTATTAGGAAAGAAAGAAAGAAGGCGTTTCCGCGGTGTCTAGCTGACTGTCATTCGTTGAGTGCTTTTATTGGAACAAGGAGAGAGAAGAGAGCGGAAGAGAGAGAAAGAAAGAGAGAGAGAGAGTAAGTGAGAGTGTGAGAGAGTGAGAAAGAAAGATTGTATGCGTGCGTATGCGAGTTGTAGATGGAGGCGGGGGTCAAACACTAATGCCTGCTGTGACTGACAGGTGTTTGCCAATATATGTTTTTCGTCATCGTTTATTTCGTAACGATGACAGAGTTAGCGGTGCCGGCACAAATACGTTCAAGCGGACGATTCCCAACCAAGGATTTATTTCCTTCCACTATTTCCTCGCTGAAAGACCAACGAATGGATGGATCCTGTAACGAAGGATATTTTCATACATGTAATTTCATAATGGGAGGTAACCGATCCTCGTGTACGAGGAGAGCGGGTGTCGATGACTCACAGGCGCCGACTAATACTTACGAAAACCGTGTATCTGGGCGTATCTGCCCATCCAACACATATTCACCGCTCTTTAACCTTCATTTTTTTTTGTTTGCAAATTTAATAAACGTAGACTTGAAATTTTGAAACACCTATCATTGTAGCAATCATTTCTTAACCGATTTTTTTAAATCTCCATTCACCTCTTCCTCCTCTTTATCCATATTTTCCTCAATTTCCTAATGATAGTATCATACGTTCGAGGCTGGTAAAATATCGATTAATCGAGAATCGAAATTTCTGACTCGTTCTGTATCGAAGATCGATACCTTCGATTCGACTGGCGCGAATCGTTATCCGATAAATCACGCGTTTCAAATCTCAGCTTGATGGAAGATAAACGGAGGACCAAGAAGTTAAAAGTATACAATTGATATTTGGCGAACAAAGAATTAGAGAAAGGAGATCGATGGAAACGGTATAATATACGTATAGGTGTACGCGTATGCATATATCGATCGTTGAACGTCGACTCGAAGTCGACCGGATGCGAGAGATGCGGATGATTTTTCACAGACGATTGATAGCCGCCAGGGGAAAACCGATTCTGCGGTCAGGAAAGATAGCCGCAGGATTACCGAACTTAAGGAAAAGCCACGGTATCGTTATCCCACGTAATGCGACACCTAGAAGCGTTTCTTGATCGAAGTAACGAGTAAAAGGAATAACGAGTATCGACCGGGTAAACCTTGTCGCTTTGCACGACAAGCAAGCGGTCTGTATCCTTCCTATTCTGTTACACCTTCGATTATTTCTTAACGAGAGGATGTCGTTTGTCGCTGGCCGAAGGAGGTCACGGTAACAGTCAGTAGACATTTAAATGGATCCCTCGGAGATCGCGAGACCAGAGATCAGCGCGCCAGATTGATCCAACCGAATCCCTATTCACCACCGATTGCATGCGAATGATTGTTTGAGAATGTGATAAAAGCGAAACGGTCGAATACCCGTGCGCAAGGAAGTGCACGCAATGCGTAACCGTACGATGCGTATCGTAATCGTAGCGGCGGGTGTTCGATCGGTTAAATGTTTAGCAGAACCATCGATCTAATCATCGATCGCTAACGAGTATCGTTCGATTTCAGGCCCAGTCGGACGACGACGACGTGGCGGACGATGTGTCCGTCAACGTCGGCGGGCCCGATGACTTTATGACCGAGTTTTTCGCGGAGGTAAGTATACCATTCGTTCTTTACACGCATTGTTTCGTTTTCAATACATCGAAAGCTGATAGTCGGTTAACGAGAACGGGATTGTATCGGTTTCTTTTGATCATCCATCAACGACGTTTTCTCGATCGGTTCCGGCTTCTTCCATAGTTTCGCCTTCTCCGTGTTTCGATCTTTCAATCGTTTCGAGCAGAGCTCGATTAGCTGACCGCTGCAGAGATCAATGTTTGCGTACAAAGAAACCGTTGAACCTCGTTTAAGAACATAATCCGTTATCGTTTCCCCGACGATGCTTTTCCTTGATAGAACATCGCGCTAGATTACCATTCCGATTTTTCTTTTTCCTTTTGCGCGAAATCGCAATAAGGAAAAGAGGAAGCTACGATTTTCGCACGATTGGTAAAATTGGCGAAGAAACAGAGAAGGATAAGCTCGTTGCTAGTTTCTTTCGAGATAATAATGCAATTAAACGCGTTCGATCCGTTCAGGTATGCTAATTTATTCGTTGACGTTGATATCAAAGCGAAGATACGCGCGTAGGAAACGAACGGTTATCACTGGAATATCGAGGAATTAGGTCGAGACGAGTTCGACCGAGAATCTATGCACTGTCGAGTTCGAACTCGAATTCTGTGAAACTTTTCTCGTTGTATCGTTCCGTATCGTTTCCTTTCGTTTCGTTTGCTCGATTGATCTCGAAACGGGAAGGTGAAATAATCGAAGATATTCGCAGAAAATGGAAAGTGGAAAGGTTGCGTGATTGGAATGGCAAGGTATATCGTTGACATTTGCATACATTTCGATTTGCGTGGGTTCGCCATTAACTTTGATCGCCAGTTCTCGCATCTGACTTTTCTTCGTATCGACGCGTGGGACGGGACAAGCTCGGGAAAGGTGAAACGTTGCGTGGTTCGTTGCCGTAGAAACGAAAGCCGGATCCTTTTGTCGCGTCTTAATGATACGGAAATGAAATTTCGTTACCGCGATCGCTACGTATTTCCCGTGGATGCGTGGACAAATTGTTTGCGGGAACGTTTTGTCGTGGCTACGACCGCGCTGGAAAAGCTATCGTTGCTCTAACTTTCCCTTGTCAGACTCTACCGCGTCGCTCGAAATATGTAAATCAATTTTCATCGTCGACTCGTCACCTTTCTGGTCCGATCGATCCACCAACAGCCATCGTATTCTTAACACTTTGACTGTCGTCCACCCGTGTTTCAATAAAACGACAATTTTCCAGTCAAAGCGTTAGCCCTTCGACGGCGGACCACGTAGAGAGCCCTAATTTTAATTTAATTTCATATTTCCTATCATTCTAATTTTTGAAATTTTACACTGTTTCTCTACAAATTATATATTAAACTTTTGTCTAATATCCTTGTAAATACTTTATAAGTTTGGCTCTCGATTGACACAGACTCCGCTGTTGAAGGGTTGAACGTATTGGTCGCAGCGTCGAAGACGATCATACAGCACCTTTCAATCAAACAGCATTAAGATCATTTAATATTTTAATCGAAATATTCAGGATCTCACAGTTACCTCATCTGTGATGTCAACTGGTCCGCTTCGGTTATCTAAAATTGCAATTCTCGTTTTTCTATAGGTGGAGGAGATCCGCGAAATGATAGACAGGATCCAGACGAACGTAGAGGATGTGAAGAAAAAGCACAGTGCCATCTTGTCGGCGCCACAGACCGACGAAAGTGAGTTTCAGTCGTTTCTTTATTTCTGTGCTTGATCGTCCCTAGCGAAACTGTTAATACGTTTTCGAGCGGACAGAAGTGTCCCTTGGTTTAGGGTCGAACAGGGATCGCAAAGGGCAGAAGCCGGGGGTCTGATTTTATTATTGTTATACAAGAGCCGGTGTTCGGGTCAGCTGGCCGTCAGCTGTTGTCGATTCTTCCTTCCGTTGCTTCCAGCGATCGAATTTATTCCCCTAGTCGACTAGTATTCCTTCTTTGTTTCTTTCCTTCCGGCGGTGCTCGTAAAACACGACGGTTGACTGGGTCGCGGCTCTGTATACTGTAAACGATCAAAGGGGTGAAAGGTGTAGAAAAGGCGCGCCTTAGGCTGTCAAATGAACCGTTTTTCGGAGCAACGAATTCTCGTTGACTCGCATGGGCAACGTAGTTGATCGTCAGCGATATCAACTTAACCCGGATCGATGTTCCGCACACACCTACTTACGTACACATTTTTATGCTTCCCTTTGGCCCTATTAAGCAGGCGGTCTAGCTAAGAGATCGATCGAGCTCCTCTTCTTCTCGAATGCCGGATCTTACCTGAAAGAAGAGAAAAATATATTAGCAATATTGGCGATCGAATAACGCGGGATAAAACGGACGTAAACTCGGCCCCTGTTCGCGTAAATAGGTCTGTAGGATGCCGGGTGACACGGATCGATTTCGTCGTTGTGCTCGAGACGGAAGCACAATGTGACGATAGAAAAAGGCTCTGGACCGTTTCTTTCTGGGACGCGAAACGCGCCCGCGATTCGATCGAATTCCAAGTTGTCGGGCGTCCCGTGTCTCCCGGCCGTGCCGTCGCGAGTTCTCGAGAGGCTTTAGAAGTAGGTCTGGCACGTTTCCACCCCCGTATTAACCCAATTCCATCGAGCACCCTCGAAGAAGGGAGAGGAGAGAATGCGCGAGCCCTCGGTGATTGCCGTCGCGACGCGTAGCGCCGGGTACGAGCGCGTGCACGCGTTCCTCCCTGCCGAAACGGAACGAGAAGAAAGAGAAGGAACAGCCGACCCTTTGGAAACTCGGTCGTTTACCCCGACATCTTTAAACTTCACCGATTAAACCGGACTTGGATTTTTCCTACTTCACCCTCGTTTCGAGGGCCATCGCGATATCTTCCGGTTGAATCGAATCCCCCGTTCCCAGGATAAAATGATCGACGTATCGCGATTCAATCGTGAACGCGAAACACCTTCTCTGTATCGCGAAATGAATTCTTTGCCGGATGTAAGTCGAACGATAGACGCGAGAGCGAACAAACTGGACCGAGCATCGTGAAAGATTCGCCGTTTCGAACGAAACAATTCTGTTCTTCTCGTTTCTGTTACAGAGGTCAAAATGGAGCTGGAAGACCTGATGTCCGACATCAAGAAGACGACGAACAAAGTCAGAGCCAAGTTGAAGGGTAAGTTGGAAACTGTTGATCTCGCGTTAAATTTCGATTTTCACGTTCCGTTTTCTCTGTTTAGTGATAGAGCAAAATATCGAGCAAGAGGAGCACACGAACAAATCGTCGGCGGATTTGAGGATACGCAAGACGCAGCACTCGACGCTTTCCAGGAAGTTCGTCGAGGTGATGACGGAATACAATCGGACGCAAACCGATTACAGAGAACGGTGTAAGGGAAGGATACAGCGGCAGCTGGAAATCAGTGAGTCTTTGTCGGATCCTAATTAAAAATAATTATTCGTCGTCATGATTATCCTAACCGATCGGAAACGTTTGTAGCCGGTAGAACGACCACCAACGAGGAACTAGAAGAAATGCTGGAACAAGGAAATCCGGCCGTGTTCACGCAAGGGGTAAGCGTTTCGTTTGTACGTTCGTATATGGAAGCAAAAGTACGATGCTGAACCGAGCGGCGTTTCTCGCAGATCATCATGGAAACGCAACAAGCGAAACAGACCCTTGCCGACATCGAGGCGCGTCACGCTGATATTATCAAACTAGAAAACTCGATTAGGGAACTCCACGACATGTTCATGGACATGGCGATGTTGGTAGAAAGTCAGGTAAGGCGATCGTCTCTTTTCGATCCCCGATTTTACATCTTAATACCTTTAGTCTACGTGCCTTGCCCTGAATTATTCAACTTGTACGCGAATCACGGCTTTTTCTTTTCAACCCTTCTGTTCGACTGAAATTAACGATACTTTGTGTTTTCCTGTTACGCTGTGTGGATTCGTGCCACCCACCTACTTTAGGGGGAGATGATAGATCGCATAGAATACCACGTGGAACACGCGGTGGACTACGTGCAGACGGCTACGCAGGACACCAAAAAAGCGCTCAAGTATCAAAGCAAAGCCCGACGGGTGAGTCCTCCCCAGATTTCGCGCCATACCATTGATTTTTCGTCCGCGTCTAATTGGTCACTTTTTGTTTCTTCACCTCCCGTTCCTCGTCACCCGAAACAACCATCCCCTAATCACCTTTCACCTCTCCCACCCGTTTCTTTGTACGTTTTTTTTATTGCTACCACCCTAAAACCTTTACGCTTTTTCGTTTGCTCCGCTTTTCTCTTTCTTTTTTCAACCATCCGCGTGCTTCATTACCATTTATTACAATTACTACCACCACTGTTATAACTACCACTGTTACTACCATTACTACTACTACTACTACTATATACTACCGCTGTTCTTTCTCGCGACGCGATATCGAATAACGATGGCGCTTTCTTTCGCTCTACCGTACCCCCGTATCGTACGGACGAATCGATGCTCGCACATATCGTGTATATACGTATGATGTATGTATTACGCGTTCGTTTCCTTACCCCTTTTGTATCTCTGTGTCTCTACGCGCGTGTACATACACGCGTTCTTACTCGTTTATTATCTGTTTTTGTATACGCCTATGTATGCTGTGTGTATACATGCATCATCATATGTGTGTCTCTCTACTTGTGCCGCTCTGTCCTCCTACTACTGACAACCTGAGTGTGCTAACTGTGCCTCTGTCCATGAACTGTTTTGTCTGTCTGTATGTACTACTACTACTACTACTAAAAAAAACACAAAAAAAAAAAAACGATAAAAATACTTTGCGTGACTAACTACATAACAACTTGCGCTCTCTAACCGGAACTGATTCACGTCCGCGACGATCGGTTTGCGATACCCGCGCTGCGTTTACGTACATCGTTTGGCGATGAACGCGCGGTATGGTGTATGGTGTGACCCGCGCGATTTGGTGGCTTTGTGTGTGGCACATTTGTCTCTGGACGTTGACGCGTGCGCGATTAACTTTGGGGCTGATCATCCCTGGAGGCGATCCACCGGTTACCGTCGAGTATCTCCTCTCGTTCCAATTCTTCGAATCTACCCTTTGCTCCTTCGCCACCTGTCCCATCCGCTTCCTCGTACGACACGGCAGGGTGAATTGGTGGACCGCATTTGAGTACTTCGTCGATCATAGCGGCGACCACGTGGGCCAAGCCCGAGGTGAGCTGATCAAGGCCGAGGAGTATCGGAGCAAGTCTCGTAAGGTAATCGAATCGGATGCAAAAGTCCTTTCGCTTCTCGCGTTCCTCGCTTTTTAAACCAGCGGCGATCGTCCAACACCGCTTACGCTTCGAAGGCGGAGAAGGAGGAGCCCGATAGGAAAATGAGCCTCTGTTCGTGGCTCCTCCGTTTTCGTCCCCCCCTCCGTTGATAGTTCTTGCATGGAACCCTGCTAATTCGCAAAGAAAATTGAGATCGTCTCGCGTAAAGAACCGTGAAATTAGATTTTTTGTTCTCCTATACCTAGTTTCGTTCGTCTTCTTTGTTATCCTAGCTTGGAGATTTCATCGTTTCTTTTCCTACCGGTCCGAGTTTATTCTCAGCTACAGCTTCCTCTGACCCGTACGCACACACAGACACCGCGCAAACGTTCTTGGCCCTTCACAAAACTTTTCACCACCCTCTGCTCTCTTTCTACTGGTATCTCTGTCTATTTGCTTGTCCGCTTGACTGTCTATTTGCCTGTCTACCTGGTTGCCTGCCTGTCTGCTTTCTCGTACTTCCTTCCTTGTGTGTTGCAACAAGTCGGATTCGTTGTTCGCTTATCCACGCCGAATCACGAAGACTTCCTTGGCCGATTTCTCCGCGACGTTGTTCGCGATTCGACGGATCCCGTTTAGTCGTTGTCCAGGTGATCACCGACCGGCTCTCACACGACTCGTATTTCTTTTTTCTGTCCACAGAAAATGATCTTCATCATAATCTGCGTGTTAATATTGGCCGTGATATTAATCTCCATAATAATAGCATGCTTACCGAGGAGCTAAAGATTCGTTGAGAGAATCGGCGTGGCGCGGCGCGACGCGGGATGGGGTTGGGAGAGGGTTGCGATAGAAGAGGGTTACGCGCGAACGAACGGGTCGCTGATAGATCGTGCGCGCGCGATGCTCGATCGAGCGACGATAGAAGAAAAGAGAAGGAGAAAGCGTGATGGTGCAAGAGGAGGAGGAGATGGAGGGTGGTTTGGAATATAAGATGCGAGGGAAGAAAAAGAAGAAGAAAGGGGTTTTACGAGGATCGAGATTGCGGAATAATCGCGAACAGGATCGGAAGTTCGCGCACGCGCCTCGTTCTTGGCAAACACGGAACCAGCTTCGCCTGTGTCAACCTCCTCGAGTATCCGCTCTATCGTCCCGGCTCTAATATCTGACTAACTTCGAAGAAGCAACTAATTACTTGCTCGTTGTAACGCAATAACCGATTAACCGCAACTGTGCTCGTTTCACCAACACACGAGACCGACGCTTGCGTCGTTGGTCGCTTCGTGGATCCTACGATCGCCGACTCGCCTTCTCGCCGTTCCTCTGCGTCGAATGATAACGGAGAGGCGAGTCCGCGAACATACCGACGTCTCGTCATAGAGACGAGTTTGTTCCATCCTCTGTGATCGTGTCGTACCGTGAAATCGACTCCTTTCGGGTTTTCCTGTTCCACTTATCGATGGTTGCTTACGTCTTTTTCTCGAACCGAACCGAAGGGAGCTCGATTTCACGATTCTCCTCTTTAGACGCGCACGCCTGAGAATAACCAACTGCGTTCACGCGAGCGTATGACAGAGCAATATTGTGTATTTTGTTCACAGAAATTGATGTTCATCGTAATTTGCCTGACGATAGCGTTCATCATTTTGATAATCATTCTGATATATGCGTTGTAAGAGAGAAGATAGATCGAGCGTACGAGGATTCCATGGGCACGAGAGATAGAGGCGAGAATTGGGCCACGAGAAAGACACGTTTTCCACTTTGCGCGTTTTCATTTTGCAAGTCGATCGGTCTTTGGCCGAAGAATCGTCATCGATCGTTGACCGGTACACGCTCGTGCGACTTTCGATGCCTTTTCTTTTTTCGTAATCTATTGCAGCTTTTCCTTTTTCCATCTACCTCGTAACTCGGCTACGCTCGTTTTCACACGGACGTAATCGAAGGAAGCGGTCAACGAATCGAAGGGGAAAGTTCGTAAGAAGGAGGGAGAAGCGCGAATTTTCCCTCTATTCGTTTCCTCCGTTCGATTTTCCAATAAATCCCGATCGACGATCCGCGCCGATTCGATTCGATTCGATTCGATTCGAATTCGGCTCGAACGACGATGCGTACAACAGACAGAAACTTTATCGAGACTGGTCGAGTGGCAGACCGCACACGCAGAGAGAGGCACGAGCTGCGATTTGCGAAAATTGGGATCGAATTGAGAATGGTACGACGAAGAGAGAAGGGAGGCGCGCGATTCGAGGGTGGTGTGTAGCACACGATACGGTAGGGACGAACGGTCTAGGGAACAGAATTTGTAATCGATCAATTGTGTTTTTGCCGATTCGTTGATGCCGAGCGCAGAAGAAGATCATGATCATGATCTGTCTCGCTATACTCGCCGTTGTTGTGGCCACCACCATCGGTGGATACTTTGGACTGTGAACGCCGCAATCGGGTACGTCATTGAAACTTAGTCGCGACAATAGATCGATGAGGAGACGAAACGATTGTTGGTTTTCTTTTGTGTTTGTTGTTGTCTTTTTCAGAAAAAACCACACGCGTCGCCGTGGTGTACGTAAACGCGAACCGTCGCCAGCACCTGTACCCAGGCGAATCGGCCGGAAACGTTGGACGCGTCGCCCCTTCGGCGTCGAATCGGCTCTGTCCCGACCTCAGCGGCAACACCACCACCACTACCATCACCGTCGTCGTCGTCGTCGTCGTCGTCGTCGTCGTTGGAAGCAGCGACGTCAACCGGTCGTCTCGATTTCGATCTTGTACGCGGCCTCGTCGACGGCCCTTTCGTCCACGCACGCCACTCCTCGTTCCACGGATCGCCGCCGAATTCCTTCTTTTGTTGCGCGTACTGCCCATCCGTTATCGCGACGCCAAGAGAATCCCGAAGCCGAAGCGTCTGTACAAGTAACACGATCTACGACTGCGCCAGCAACGCGAGCAACGAATAGTCGTCGTCGTCGTCGTTGTCGCTGTAGTTTGATCGAAATTGCCACCCTTTTCGTTTCGTTTCGCTCCTATCCTTATCCCGTTAGTAAGCCCTTTACGCGCTAGTCTCGTATCGTTTCCCGAACTGTATCGCTTGCACGCAATCGAGACGATCTCTGGCGTAGATCATCGGTTCGCATCCTTTCTCGATTCTTGCTAGGAAGCTAGATGCTCCGGAAGAGAATAAAAAGCGACCGAGACGCGGAACGATTAGAGGCGCGCGGGCGACGACAAGGAGATAGAAAACGCGATCGAACCGTATCGATTCGCGTGTTCGCCCGATCGAGATGAGGCGATGAAGCGAAGCCTAAAACCCAATGGAATCGTGTAACGCGAGACTATCGAGATAATCCTGTCGTTGGTCGCGGTATATTCGGTGGCCGCGGTGTCGATCACTTAACCGATTACCTAGCAAAGTGCATTCTTTTGACTGTGATTCTTAACCGAGCTTGGAAATTAGTTCTTTACAGATCTCGAAATAGTTCGAAACGAAGCCGCGGTAGTAACTTTGACGCGCACGATGCGTGTATCACGCACACAATCGCTACGCTACATATCATAACGATTCTACTAATGGCGTAGATTATTGAAATCTTACCCCCTCAGCCCGAGCCCCTCTTTCTCTCTTTCTCAATTCCCCGTCGTAACTGTTCCGGGTATTCGTATATCGAATGGGAACCGAACGTGGTTCTCACCTTAGAGAAAAACGTAGATTTATCGGAACGGTAACGTTGACAAAAGAGACAACGGTTTACTAGGACTAGGGAAACGTTGAACGGTAGAGAGACGATTGACGAGAGCGCAAAGGACGAATTTCCAAGTGAGTCGCTACGTTAGGGGTAGCTTTCGTGCGAGGGATGATACGCGTGTCAGGTCGCGAAAGTATCGTGTGTACAGAGTTCGTTTCTCGGCCGCCCCCGCTATTCTATCGGCAATCTTTCTACCCTGATTGCGTTGCACGAAACGCCATTAGGCTTTGGGCGTGCCGAGACCAAGCTGTCGCGTAGATAAATTCTTACGGAGAAACGGAGCAGAGGAGAGACTCGATGTTTCTTCTTTCAGTTCAGTTCGTGGGTGGTGCGTTCGTTGTCGCGTAACCCGAAATGATGTCGATCGGCGACGACGATGACGAGAGTATCGGTGCGTGGTTTCATCGAACGACAATACAGAGAGAAATGAAAAAATGAAACTAGACAATTTGTTGTTTTGCGTTGGTTTTACGTTCGTATCGAAATCGCGAGTCGACGCGGTGCGGGCGGTTCTAGCGAATAAATAAATTCGTCCAAAGTCGGAAAGATGTCTTCGAAGCGACTGGTCGAACACGGGGCGCGGATAAAAATCGGCTAGCGAATAAGGGAGGAGCAATGGGACGCAATGACGAGAAGAAGAACACGCGGACTAGGAGAGAAATGGAGATCTATAAAGCTGCAGCAATAATATATAATATAGGTGTACGGGAGAATAATTAACGCTAATACAATCGTCGATGATAAAGTCTGGATCGTACCGAATATATCGTATGTACACGACAAATGTATACATATATTTAATGCTATTATGTACGTACGTGTGTATATGTATGTATACGTGTATATGCGTATTTATCGTAAGGTGTATAAATCGCATATCGGATATACGTATTATACGCACCTACGATACGATATACAATTATAAAGGTATACATATTGAAACACGGTATACGGGTGCAGGTAAGCCAGCGGGAGTAATAAACGCGTACGCGAACTCTGTAAACGCTTACTCGCACGCGTAGACGCGTGTAAGGGCATTGCGCGCCCACGCAAGCACCCTACGTTCACACAGAGACATATTACATGTATATAAAAGAAAACAAAAAAAAATAGTTAGTCGGCACAGTCGAAGAGTAATATATTAACGATAATAATTTATTATTCGCGACGCCTGTTGCTCGTTTATTATCAGACTGGATAATCTATTCGAGCGAAGAACGGGCGACGTTCGTGTTAATGTTTTGTTGATTATATTATATGAACGTTGAGGTACATTACATTTAAAAGATTATGGGTTAATGTTTCAGAATGATATAAAAATGATAAAATGAAAAAAAGAAACGAGTAACACACAGTTGCGCTACACACAAGCCACGTTGTGCACGTCGTGTTACGTTGCTCTAAACGACGATGATAATTATACATGTATAGCGCTGGTGGGGACGGTACGATGATAACGATTAGCTATAGCAATGTTAAACGATTAAAAACGGTGACAAATGGAAAGAGAGGTTGACGATTGGCCAAGAATAATGGTTCACGATGATTACGATTAGGATGACGATGATGACGATGATGATGATGATGATGATGATATGAATAGTTAATGATACTTAAAAAATCACTTTGCATTGTACAGAAGCATACTGATTGTTAGTTTAGATAGCTACGTTGCCACGATCTATTACTTAATCGTTGAGAGTGCGCGTGAGATACGAGTTTGCGCGTAAAAATCCCTCTGTGACGAGTTGTGCAAGTGTCGTCGAAGAGCCGAGGCAATTCATATTCTCGTATTCGTATTCGTAATTCGTATTCGTCGTTGTGCTTCTTCGAGTCGGAAAGGGTTTGCGTTCGTTCGCTTTCGCGTGCCGATTCGAGGCGGAGAGGAATGATAGACGGCGAGGATGGTCGCGGCTACACCCGGTGGATAACGGAGAAGAAGAACGTTGCGTCTCTCGAGAGAGAAAGAAAGAGAATTTAGGATCGTTTTGAAATCCTTTGAATCGACCCGCTCCTCTCCGACACATTGTCACTTACCGATTCCGGTCTCGTTAAGCCTACGCGAACGCTATCTCTTTCTCTTTCTCTCGGTGTTCTCGGTTGTAAACCTCTCTAGTATAATCGGCCCTAATGCAATTAATTAAACCGCGTTTCTTATATTCGGACCGCGGCACGCGTCCTACGTGTCGGACGTATCAATGAATACGAAAGATAGCACGATTTTTCTATCCAAGCCTCCGCTCTGAAAACATCGATCTACTACCGTCTAGCCTGTCTTTTCATTCTCGTAGCTTTAAATCTCGTACCTACGTACGCGCGTACGTGCACACCTATCGTACATACACATATACGTACGTACGTGTCGAATATGATTGTTAGTAGTTGTTATTTTTTTTTTTTTTCTCGAATGCGTGCGCGCTCGTGTGTAGCGATTCTCGCGACAGGAATTGAAGAATCAAACTTAATTTCCTACCATCGAATCAATTAACCTGGCGCATCATAGATTAAAAGAACTAAACGAAATGTAATCGTAATCGGTACGCGGCGCGAGATCGGCGATCGACGATCAAGGATCGACGCTGCCTGCTGCTGTGCGCGCGTTATACGCATTTTGGCCTAATAATGGAAACAAAGGCTTTCTCCGTAAAATATATACGCTATCTATGGCTTCGTTGATTTCCTTTCGTTGAACGGAGCAGCGATCGCTCGTCTTGTTTCGCGCTCAATTTTTACGCGTCTATCTGTCCGTCTACCTTATCTATCTGTTTCTCTCTGTCTATCTATTTATCTATCTATCTATCTGCTTCGTTTCTCTTTATATCTGTCTACCTATCGATTCTTTTCTTTTTCTTTCTTCTCCCGACAATCGTAGGGGATGAAACGGGGCAAACTGTTTCCGAAAAGCGGGAACGATCGCGATCGATTAACGCGTTCGGTTAGATGATATTGTTCCGTGGTTGATTAGGATACAGAGATATCGATGGGAATAAAAGAATAAAAGGGAAAGGAGGGGCAGGACCGACAGATAGACGCAGTCGAGCGAATAATAAACGACAGGGAGAAACGGGAATCGCGACGAAGCAGAGGGAACGCTTTAATTGAAAGAGAAAAACCACGTTGAAACACGACAAAAAGTATTCGAGTATGTTGGTCGTGTCGCGCATCGGTGCAATTATTACACTTCGAGAGACTATTTCAATAACCTTATGAGTGTCAATTCCACTTTCGAGCGTAAATCGTAAGTTTGCGAATGTTTTGAGACAAAAGAACAAACGAACAAAAAATAAAGAACGATCGAGAAGGAGAGTCAGTGTTGAAGAAAAAAGAGAAAAAAAAAACTTAAAGAAAAAGAACAAAAAAAATAAATAAATAAATCGTAACGATAAGAGATAGTTGCGCGGTCGCGTCTCTTGACCGGCACGCGACAAAGTGAGATTACTATAATAAAATTTACATTATCGAGAAACAAATTAGGGAATGAGAGAGCGGGAGAGAAAGGGTAAGAAAGCAAGAACGAACGAACGTGCGTACGATCGAACGAGTGAACGAACGAGAGAAAGTAACGGAAAGGAAGGTAGGAGTAGAGCTGAAGAAGATGACGATCAAGAGAATAAATTAATTTAAAAAAAATGAGATCGAACGAATGCGCGCGAACGAGAGGAGAACGAAAGTGCGTGTGACAGTGCGTGCATGGATGCGAGAGAGGAAGCGAGTACGAGAGAAATATAAGTTAGCAAACTTTAGCATGTTCAAAGAGACAGAAAAATAAAAAAAAAAAGTACGGAAATACTTTTTATCGTAGAATACATCATAATAGGTGAGATTCGTGGAAGCGAATAAACGGTAAAAGAAAAATGGGGGAAAAAAAGTAGAAAAAGAAGAAAAAAGAGACAGTGATCTGTATTAACGATGACTTATTAAATAAATCAACGGTGTTTTTTCTGCCTATCAGTTGTACGTATTTGTGTGTCGCGCGAGTACGAATTTTCACTTCTCTCTCTCTTTCTCTCTCTCTCTCTCACTCTATAAATATATACATATATATTTATTGTCTCTCTTTCTCTCTCTCTCCCTCTCTTGAATAAGAAAAGAACGATAGATCGTTATTTCGTTTCCGTCTTTAATACGATATATCACTGTTATTATCATTATATATTATTAATCGATACTGTACAAAGTTGGCAATAATCTTAAGAGATCCTCCACCGTCGTAACGTTTAGCCTCCTCGAGGAAGAGAACGCGAGGCCGAGGTCCCTGCTCCTCGACGAACCAACAGAGAAAGTAATAAAAACGAGCAGTCTCGTTTATAGAAATCAAAGCTACGCGATCGAACTCTTTTACAAGTATAATAACTGTGCGGATAAGTATTTGTTGTTTCTGTGAGCAGCGTTCAAATGTATATGTACAGTATTGGGTAAAGTAGGCCTCCCTAAGGAGAATAGCGTTACAGGGGAAGTTGAAATTCTGAAAACTTTAATTTTGGCGATATTAAGGAAGATTTCGCGAAGCCTACCATGCTCGTTTCTGTACATTATACATATACGCTTCTCCTCGCATTTACACCCTCACACATATAAGATTCGCGAATCAAAGAGGAGCTAGAAAATGGGAAAGATAGAGAAACGAGGAGGGTTGGATCGCGCGGCAAGGGTCCGTTTGTTCGTTCGAGGAACGAGAGCCGAAAATCGACAAATCGTTTCTCACAGGATAAACGATAAATAACTATTCGAAAGAAGACGTCGCTTTCGGCTCGTGATCTCCACCCCGCGTTACTGCGAATCACCTCTTGATCCATCGTTCTATTCCTAAAGCGAAAATGAAGCCAAGCGTTTGCTGTACAATTCTATTCTTTTACGTTTAACGACTTACTATTGAGTAGACGAGTAGTATATTTTACATTAACGAAATATCGTAGCGTTACCTTGTCTTACCTTAATTTTATATATCATCGAAGATACGTATTCGCAGGAATAACGATTATAGTCAGCAGCACTACGAGTCAAGTTACTATACGTTTGTAGATAACAAAAGGTCCGCAAAGAGATTTTAAAAACCGACACGATGTTCAATGTATTTAAACGATCTTCTCTCGAAAGATGAACAATATACAATATGTAACGGGAGTACATCGCGCCTCCTATTCATTCGTTTCGCCCTTCGCCCTTGATGGATCACGGAAATTGACGAGGAACGAGGAAAATACAACAACCAGTCGCGCTTATCGATCTCCTTTTATTTAATCTTCTGTTCTGGTCTTATGACCACCAACGAAGAAGAACAAGAAGAAGAAGAAAAGAAGCGAACAAGGTACGATAAATAAATAATGGTCGAAGAAAGGCGATATGTACATGCAAAAGAGTGGGTATACAACTGTATGTATAGAGGAAGTCATAGCTGGAAGAAGAACGAACGGGTTAAAGACCGTTCGCGTTCGGGCACAAGCTCGTGTCATCGAGATCCGAAACAGTTCTGGCTCTGTTCAACAGACCCTCCTTGAAATCGCCATCCCTCGGGATGTTCTCTGGTCCTTGAAGCGCGTGTTCGCGAATGAACTGGATCACCAGTTTAGGATTCACGTACGACATCGTCAGTCGGCGTCTCCAAACGAGCAACGCTAACGGCTGAGGAACGTTAATCAAGCGATTAGTCAACTTTCGAAAAATCGTTTACCGATGCTCGCATCCACTTACACGATCCTCGGTGAGCGCGTTGTAAGGAGTAATCACGTGTCGTAGCAGACAGCCGGTAACTAGATCCTTTAGACGTTTCACCTCCAACGGATTGGCGCAAGGATGATACAACATCACAACGGCTCCGTGCTAAACGATAGATGAAACGTTACAGAGATAGATGAACAGTTATTCAGAAAGATACCAATCGTTTCTCGTTACCTCCAGGCTGTGCAACCAGCGTTGTTTCGGTAGAAACTTATATTCACCGTAGACGGGCCATAGAGGTCTGTGGGCTCCGCTGCAAATGGTGGACAAACGACGTTACAAGATACGTACAAGTCTAATCGTTTTACAACTACTTACAATAACGGCACGTCGTCGTTGTACTCTATCCTCTCGTTCATGCATTTGTGCATAGCCTGTAAGAATCCCGAACGCAATATATACTGTTTATCGATACGCGACGCGAACGAAACGGCGGAAAACTTAAAACTTACCACGTAATTCTTTGGAACGAGTACCGTATATTTTAAGGCCGGCGTTCTTCTGTCCGGTAGAATCCTTTTGTCGTAGCACGTGTAATTGATTGGACTGCCATCCCAATCCACCGTCAAGTTGGTCTGAAAAGAAAATACAAGTTAGAAATGATGAAGAGAAAAATAACTACTGGTACCTTGGCATCGTCACAGGTAGCCGAGGGTTGCCCCATCGGGATATTATGAAGGAGATGCGACGATCGGTAGACTTCCGGTTCGTAGTTTTTCCCAAACACCTTGGGCGGTGGGAGTGGATCGGTCGGTCTGTCAGGCATCCAGCGACCTTTCCAATTCTCCAATTCATCACCGTTGACGTTTCGACGATTCTCTCCATCTTTTAACAGGTACTTCCGGAGGGAGTTGAGCCGATTGAAGCGGAAGTTTCGCGGTTCCTCTGTAACACCGAGTGTCAAACGTCAGTTTCGCTTTCTTCGAGAAAACATTTGTTCGATCAACGAAGAAGATACGCTATATAACAGGGTGCGTTTAAAGGTTAGAAAACGCGTGGACGTCGGGGAGTAGGCGGTCGTCACCTTCGAACGTTCAAAGCGGATATGATATTCGACGGAATCCATCCAGTAGTTACCTTGATCGTATTCCTCGTCGCTGTCCTCGTCGGAGAAGTCGTCGTACCTGATGCCTTCGGCAAGAAAGTAAAACGCAAACAACAACAGAATAACTTTGGTTTTCATGTTTACTTGGGTAAGGCGATATACCAAAACACGGTACGTCGAGGAGGCACGGCCGCCATCTACCAACGACGGACGACACCTTCTTTAATTCCTGGAGATCCAGCCGGGCTAACGCGGAATCGATGAAAAGTCGCGCTTCTCACTGTTGAAAAAGTAGAAGTACACAGGAAACACACAGAAAAATTATACCTTCGAGACAAGAGAAAAATATATATATAATGATGCGTATGAGATATCAATTTATTGTCCCTTATCGATAGATACATACATTGGTGTTTCGAAAGCCGAGGGAAAGGGCTGTTTGCAAATTGCGTCGATCGATGAACGAGAAACGTTCCTCTTAGCAGCCATTAGCGTTACCAAACGTTCCTGCTAATTTCGTTAATTATGGAACGAGTAGTAGGCGTGGGCTCGTTGCGTGCTGCCGGTTGGAAAACTTATACCGAGTCGTAATTATTACATTTTTCTTATCTTTTTTGAAGATCTTCAACTTGGAAAAAAGAGCGCGCAGAAAAGAAGGCTGTAAAGGTGAGACGAGTGGACTTAGGCTGCGTTACCCTCCAGAGAGAAACTCGTGTTTATCACCTTGCGTGGCCGTTGAAAGAACACGAGTTTCTTTTCCAGTACGTCTCGGAGGAGTCGTTGCACGAGCGACTCGTATTTTCGTGACCACGGGAAAAAGCACGACGAGAAAGATAATAACCGCGATTCGCGCGCTTGTGTTTGCGGCAAAGTAGGCGAGTCGAGTAGCTGTCAATCGCGCGTTATCGAGCAGGCGAGATGAGATAACGGAAGCGGAGTACTCTTTAGCGTGAATGGGTAAAGGGTAAAGTAAACCTCGGAAGAAGCACTGTAAACACGGTTTCGAGTGGCCATATAGCGCTCGGACGTGCCCTTATGCTTCCTTCCTTCCATCCCCGTAACCCTTCTTCATATTTACCACGCAGGAGGAAATACGTAAACCCGGCATCCACGCTTTCACGTTCGGTCACCGTTCTTTGTTATTCAATTCCATTGAATCTGACTGGAAACTGAGAAAAGCATTGTCGTCCGATCGACGATGGAAAGGAAAGTCGTAAAGAGGCTTTCGCGATGGAACGTTGCTCGGACGCAATGGCTGAAATGGAAGTTTGATGTCGCCGCGTTTTACGACGACTCGCGGGGATATTAAAAGCGCGTTAGTCGTTCGGTGCGAAGGGGTTGGCCGGTTCGATCGACGTGTATGGCGTTAGGCTAACACACAGGCGACCGAAATCGTCATCGGTTTCAGCTGCCACTTGTGTTGGAGAGGTTCAGGCAACGGCGTTTCCGGTATCTTCTCGTCGTCCTTGGGCGGTGTGATCATTTCGCGGGACCTCAGCACGTACACCTGCGGTAGAAAGGGTTGGATCGTGTAAACGTAAATGGTCAGAGGGAAATATCGAACGGCAGGGAACCTTACTATGTAAGGTAGCGCTTTGCAAGAATGAAATTTGCTTTGGCATGTTTTCGGCTTGCAACGCGACACGGGCAAGTATCTCGGGTAATGACCGTCTCCGAGATCTATCATTTCGTACTGGGATTCGCAGGAACAGGATGACTGCGAACAAACGCAAACAGCAATGAGGATCATCGTTAGAGCGATCGGATACTTTGTAAACGTAGGTACTCTGGTCTGAACGTGTATCCTCTCCGGCGACTCTAATTCCTGGTAATCGGTGACGATCTGTTTCCTTTGTACGGGCGTCGGTCGATCGAGCAGCAGCATCGCGTTGTCTTCTTTCAAACGAGACCGATCCAACGGTCGGGGTATCTCATCGACGCTTTCCATCGGCCTTTCGAATTGAAAACGATCCCGCGGTTGTTGCTGCCATTGGTGACGGGCGATAGGTTCGGCGATTTGAAGATGGTGCAACATTAACGTCTAAAGAGTGTGAGAAAGAGATATACATACGATAGAAAAAGGAAACAACGGCTTACCGATTTCTTCGTTGCAGATCGCTACTTACGCAAACGACCAAGACCTTCATGTCTTTGTAGGACGCGTACGATGCGTTTGATGCGTACGATGCGATTCTTCGCGACTGGACGATCGTTTGTTCCTTCGCTCTGCTTATATAGAAAAGCGTTGGTGTAAGGAAAAAGAGAAAAAAAAGAAAAGGAAATAGAAAAAGAAAAAGGAAAGTAAGAAGTGCAAAATCACCCCCGGATCGGGAAAGATCGCGTTCCTCGGAGGCAACGCAAAAAGTCCATTAACGTTACATGATCTTCTTCAAAGATGTACGCGGCGGCTGTCCAGCGATCTTTTGATTTGCCCGACATCTGACGCCTACGCGGCTCTGCGCAAGACGGACGTCTCAAAATTAGCCGTTAGAAAAAGAAAACATCCCTTTGTCATTCGTTACGAACGATTCATGAATCGGGGATGCGGAAAGCCGGGCGCGTGACGCCCGATTTCGCGCGTCCTTCGAGGGGTAGGTCGATCGGTCGCCGGTCGCCTCGATTCGGTTACCCCAACTTCCGTTTGCTCGATTTCCTATTATTCGCTGACGCGACGCGACGCGACGCCTCCGTCCCGCGTCTCTCGTAAAACGTTAACGAGACGTCGATAATTCGATCGCAACGTGGGGGAAGCGTACGCGAGTACATTTAGCCGTGTAAACACGCACCTGTCCTGCCTTTCACGGCCGACAGGAATATTATTTTCTGCACCAGATACCAGCAAGATCGATCGCTTCCTCCCTACTCTTTCTGTCCAACCGACGCCCTCCTGACATAGGTAAACAACGATCGGATAAAAACTAGGCATCGACGAAACGAACGATCCCCGATCTTCTTCTTTCCGTTACCGGCAACGAGAAAAAGAAACAGCCGGCAATCTCCGGTTAGGAGTCTCTCGGGGAATCGAACGTAGAGAGTATAACGACGCGACACCCCCGTTGTATTGCTTGTTTACGGAACGAGGGGAACGCTTGCCGGAGGAGAAGAAAAGTTTTTACAGGTTATCCAGGTTAAAGTTAGATTGCCGGGATGAAAGGAAAAGAGCGAGAGGAAGGAAAAGGGTTTGGAAGCGGTTGTTTTTCAGCGTTTCGATCGATCGATCGTTTGGGGCGGATTGTCAGCGGAGGAAGAAGGATCGGCGAACGACGCCGCGGGGGCGAAGCGTGACGAGGAGGCGCCGTCAGGGGCACGCGTAATGGATTTCGGTGGCGCGTACCACGCGTCGCGGCGCGCCTGCTCCATATAGCACCCTCCTCTCCTCTCGTCGCGAGGAACCTCGCCGATTAGCCTGTATATATTTGGAGGAAACACGAGGAGGCCTGATACACGGCACGCGATTTTCGATCCGCGACAACGTTTCCTCTCGCTACTTAACAAACCCGCGTTCTCGTGTGACTTTCTCGCGTCGTCAAATCGTGAAATCGAATCAACGAACAAGCGACGCATACTCACGATGTCGAGCTATACTTCCTCCACCGTTTCTCTGGCTTTTCTGTTCACGATCGCGATCTCATGGATAGCGATCGCGTCCGTTCAGGTAACGATCCGTTTTCTAATGCATACCTGTTGCCGCGTTCGAACTCTGTTTGCTATCTTCTTTCGATACATCGAGATATCCGGACAGGTGGTTTAGAAACTTTTGCCGGGAACGGTGAAAAGTTTCTCCGCTCATCGATCCGGGCGTCTCGTGTTCCTAATCGAAAAGCACGATCTCGCGTTTGCTTCTTGTTCGGTTGTTTTTCATCGACGCAACTTAACGAAAAAGATTCGCCTTGCAGGTTGGAGCGAACGTGTTGCAACGAGATCTCTACGGAGCGGCGAACGGACAATTCCTAGCTGGATATCCCGATGATCACGGTAAGTAATTAACCAACGCTATCGCTTGTTTGCGGGGCAAACTTTGTGCCTACTTTCGTTCGAATCGAACGACGATCGTTCCTCGCTTTATCGCTTGATCGTTAGTCCGTCCTCGTTTACGCTTGTACGTTGGTGCTCGAGCCTCGTGCTGGCTTAGGTGGAGGCGACGCAAAGAAGAATCCCTGAATTCGGGCTTTCGAGAGGATCGCTATGGCCGTGGGTGATGGTTGGGTCGGTGGAGGGTGATCGACAAACAGATATTCGATGTTCGGTGATTGGACGATTTTAGGAGAGGCGACGAAGGAAAAATCGGCGCGGCTGGAACAGGGATCGTCTCGATTCGGCAACGCGAATGATATAGGCGGACGACAGATGACGGGAGACGACGCCCCGAGGGTCAAGATACCACCGACGCTTTCGAAGCCCCGATTGTTTCGCGACGAGGAAGTAGACCGGTTGCTGCGAAATCTGGATCAAATCGGTGGTGGGAACCTGTTGAGGCGGCGAGGACTGGAAATCGCGTACGAGCCTCGCTGGTTAACACCGCGACGGAACCTCGATCAAATTGGCGGTGGAAACTTGCTTCGCAGCGTGGACGAACGCTTCGCTCGGAATTTGGATCAGATCGGCGGCGGAAACTTGGTGCGAAGCGTGCTCGACGATCGACGCAGAAACTTGGACCACATCGGTGGAGGAAATCTGGTGCGGGACCTGTCTGAAATCGCCGGAGAACTCGAGGCTCGAGCTGTCGAGTCACGGTCAGGGAAGGGTGATTCGTAGAGCACCGCGATAATTATGCGAATCGAACGTAGTAATCCTTACCGATGATAGAATCTTCGCTTCGTCGGTAACTTTGTAGCGCGCGTAGTAGCAGCAAATAAATAGACTGTACCGCCTCTCGCGATGTTCACGTTACTTTCTTTTCTTTCCCTTTCGTTGTCTCCTTTGTTCAACAGATTCTCTCGATTTCGTTCAAGATACGACGGAAACGGATAATCCGGATCCGGATCGAGATCGATCCTCCGCATCGCGTAACCACATTTTCCGTGCATTAGACTCCCCTTACGGAACGATGTTTCTGGATCAATCGGACGCACGCGACCCGTCGATGGGCAGGTAAGCCTTTATCCTTTTTCTCTGATTGAACTATGCACTAGATGCGTCCATTTGTTCGCAGCAAGTCGTTTGGTTTCTTTCCGAGCGATCGATCGTTGCTCGAACCGTCCGCCAAGCGGAACATCGACGAGATCGATCGGACGGCTTTCGACAACTTTTTCAAACGCAACCTGGACGAGATCGATCCTGTCGATTGGGACGGATTCGTGAAAGGACTGGTCGACTACCTGACCAGCAGGACCAACAGGCCAAGCAGGATGCATTCTATGCAGCTCCACGGCTAGAAGAGGACCTCTTCTCTTTCATCGTTTCTCTCTTATCCTCTCCATCGCTACACCTTATCGTTCCTCATAAAGGGACCCAAATTTTCCTCGAACAGAAGGACGATTTATTTTTCCATCGCGATTACTATTTCGCATGTTCCCCGAGAAGTCGAACCTCAGGCATCGTGGAAGTTCGAGACCGGCCGTCGATCGTTCTCCGGGAAGCGGTGCCAATTTCTCGAGGACCGCACGTCGAAAATTTCGATAGAGGATTCCGCTGAGTGATTCGACCCGGGAAACTAGAGCGACCGTCGGCTTCCGCTTTGCCGCCGTTCCTCAACTTCGATTCCTCCGACCATTCGGCTTTCTCTTCTTGCTTTTCCCACTCTCCTTTTTCCTTCTTTTCTTTTTTCTCAACCATCGCGAGGACCCTCTTGATCTCTTCTCTCACGTCCACCGGCGTCTCGATCCTCACGCTCTCCCTGTTTCGTTCCATACGCAGCATCTGCGAAAAACAGCGACCTTACCACCGTTCCAGGGAATTCTACGTAAAAGTATCATGTACCTCGATCACGTTCTCTTCGAGGGCGGTAAATCGTTGCAGCACCGCGGCCAATTTCGAACTCTGCGTGGTCAACCGATCGGTAACTCGCAGTTCCTTCCCCACGTCTTCTTTGATCTGCAATTCTATTCGCTGTTCAATCATTCTACGTTTCCTTTCTTCTACTCACCTCGTCCATTCCTTTGGCCACCTGTTCGCCGATGTATTGGACGTTATCGCGTGCTCTGCGAACCTGCGGATACAGCGAACGTGAGCATGGACCTCTCGATTTAAAAAGCGGTAACGATAACGAGTGTAGGTTACGATCGTGGTGAACTCCCTCATCTCCGTCATGATCTTGCGTCGCAATCTCGTCGCTGCTAAAAACTAAATAGGCCGCGAGTTACCTTTCGATTCTGTATCCTCCTTTCGATATTAGATTAACTGCTTACGCGTTGACAAACGTAGAACAAGATCACAACGTTTGCGAACATTGGGATTGCGCTGCTTAACAGTTGATGCGCCAGCTGCATGGTTGAATTCAGTTAGAATCGGAATCGCGACCAGATCGTTAATCACCGAACTCGATCATATTCCCTTTTCCTCCATCATCGATCTGTTCAATGCCTTGCTGAAATTAACTGAAGTTGGTTAATTAAACAAGGGACAAGCATTGTCGCTTTTATTCATCTTGATGAAGATCCACTTGCTTCTGCATCCTTTCCATCCCTCTCCTTAGAATACTCTTATGATCATATCGACAATTGTTTACCATTGTACCTTTAATGTCCTCAATTGTATTTATCGCAAATATAAAGAATAAAATATATATTAAACGCAAACAAAGACTCCTTTTATTGTCCCTCCTAAAAAAATTTCAAATTCGTTCATTGCGCTATCTACACAAAAAGGGCGGAAACTACTTGACAATCTACCGACCGATTTTCCGGCAGTTGGTTTTTATTCATTACGATGCAAGTGATAAAAATTTTATCGATTCTTATTACGAGTTAGCGTAATCGGGTGTAAAGATGATTAATTCGATGACGCACGATGTGGATGTATATAGGAATACCTTATTTCCGTAAAGCGGACGAGTACGTCGAGTCTTCTTCGCGGTGAGCTTTTAAGCCACGGTAGGTTTAAAATTCACGGAGGTGGATCGGAAATTACCTGGAAAAGACGTAGGGCAAGGAGGTAAAGAAAAGGTAGAAGCTAATTTTGTTAGTAAAGGAGAAAAGGGTTCGAAAATAGCGGTCGACAAAGTTCGAAACAACGCTAAATGACAATGTGGCGCCAGTGACAGAGTGGAGTTTGCGCAACACCGTTTCGAGTGCAGCGCTAACCACTCCGCGAATATTCCGCCCGAAAGATTGCCAAAAATATGCAAAAATATGAGAAACTCGAGAAAATAGGAGAAGGTAGGTGTTTCGATTCTGTCGGTAATTGTGTTCGTTTGAAGTTGCGCAACCATTTTCATACAATCTTGGCGTTGAGGGGAATGCTTCTTTGACAGCTGAACATCGATGCGTTCGTTCCAGTGATAATAAGTCTTAACCGCGTTATTCGTGGGATTTCAGGTACTTATGGAACCGTTTTCAAAGCCAAGAACCGAGAGACTCACGAAATCGTCGCTCTGAAAAGAGTTCGATTAGACGACGACGACGAAGTAAGTTCGTTCGATTATCGAGCAAGTACAAGCTATGAAAATATACCTTAAACATTATTCTTCTACTCATCTCGTTGCTTTTTTTCTCTCCCGTACACAGGGTGTACCATCGTCCGCGCTTAGAGAGATTTGTCTACTAAAAGAATTGAAACATAAAAATATAGTGAGACTGTATGACGTATTACACAGTGATAAAAAATTGACTTTAGTCTTTGAGCATTGCGATCAAGATTTGAAAAAATATTTTGACAGTCTGAACGGAGAGATTGATTTGGATGTTGTTAAATCTTTTCTGTAAGCATCGATCCCTGCTTCTTCCACTTGAAATCAGTTCCAATCAAATAGCCAAGTGATCTTAGGATTATTCTTTCTTGCAGGTATCAATTGTTGCGTGGATTGGCATTTTGTCATAGCAGAAATGTATTGCACAGGGACCTTAAGCCACAAAATTTGCTCATCAATAAGGTAGTAGGACGTTACCGAATTCTATCGCAAGGTTTAAAGCTTAATCCAGCTTTTAAGATCCATCCGATACTCGTTTCTAGAACGGAGAGCTGAAATTAGCTGACTTTGGACTAGCGAGAGCCTTTGGTATTCCAGTGAGATGCTATTCCGCGGAAGTGGTAACGCTGTGGTACCGTCCACCAGACGTTCTCTTTGGAGCGAAACTGTACACGACGTCCATTGACATGTGGAGTGCCGGTTGTATATTTGCTGGTAAGTGAATAGCCGGGAAAGGGTTGAACAAGAAGGAAGGATTTTTGCATAGTCCCGTTTCCAATATGCAGAACTGGCAAACGCCGGTAGACCGTTGTTTCCTGGTTCGGACGTGGACGATCAACTGAAGAGAATATTCAAGATGCTAGGCACGCCGACCGAGGAGACTTGGCCGGATTTTACCACTCTCCCCGACTACAAGCCCTTTCCATTGTATCCTCCTGCTCAAGGATTGGCTCAAGTTACGCCGAAACTTAATTCGAGAGGCAGAGACTTGTTACAGGTAGACGATTAATGCAACTTTTAATTTGCTTCACGGATTACATCACGGGTCGCTAACTTTTCAGAGGTTGCTGGTGTGCAATCCGGCGTTACGGTTGTCGGCGGACGAGGCAATGGCCCATTCCTATTTCAACGATTTGAACCCTGCCATGAAAAACGATCGTTGTCAGTAGTGAATTTGAATGGTTTAGCCCAAAGAGAATCGCATACCGTGCACAGCACAGCGACCAAAATCACTCCGGCAAGGATCGTTTGTTAATAATATAATACAAAATTATATATGTATACAAGGTGTTTCCGATGTGGTGGCACAGCAGGAAAGGAGGTGAATTTGCACAAGAAAATAAGTTGAAAAATTGTTACATCTTCCATTTATTTTCTTATACAGATTCACCCCCTTTCCGGTAGTGCCACCACATCGGAAACACCCTGTATATATAAATATTACTATTATAATTGTATATTTCGCAATCGATGCATCAGTCGTGGTGCGAAATAGATCGACGACGAGTCCTGTTTTATAAGATTGTGCGAGAGGCATCAATAAATTGTCAATTTTATCAGTGACAAGGATTTTTTACCGAGGACGAAACATGATGCTTGATGTATTTGATGAACGCATTGTACAAAAGATCACCAAAAAAAAACTGTTGAGTACACATATACATACGTGAAACTCACGTATCATTCCGTGTACATTTGTACGTTTATTTGCTCACTTGTTCGTTTCCTCGTAGACGTTTCTGTAACGATTAACTAATCGATTAATTAATCCATTAGTATTTATTTATTTATTGTTTGTGAAATAACTTACGAGTCGACCGATTAAATACATTCACTAAAAGCTAACGACGAATTATAGATTTATTTTAAACCTTCACATCGCGTCGAAATGAAACCTATGCGCCTCTTGAAGCTTCTCGATCTTGTCCTCTCTTCGCTCTTTCCAATACAAAGCGACGATGATCAACGATATCAGGCCGCAAGTGCCGGTCAATGCAGCAGCGCTTAATAAAATTAATTTGCTAGGAGTTACGAACAATTGCGCCTTCCATCGCCAAGGTTCCGCGATCGGATTCGGTATCACTACCATCTGAGAGTTTGGAATGATTTGTGGCCACTCTCGAGATTTTCCACCGACCTATAGGAAAATTGATTGCATTTAATAAGATAATCACGAAACGTTGCTCGTCCAATGCTTACCCCGATAGTTAAAGCGTCGACAAAGTTTGGTGTTCTACCGAGACCAAAGGTCGTGTAGGGTAAGTTTAAGGAAAAGTGGGCACTCTGGGGTAGTTGAGCGGCTATAGCGCTTCTAGGACTACCGTCTTGAGTGGTAGTTCGATAAGCTATCGATGGTCCAGGAAGATTCGTACCGTAAGTTCTCTTCTTTTTGCCCAGAGAACCCGGAGAAATAGGATACAAGCTATTGTTCCGACCGGTGAGGACCATTACTTTGACAAAGTTCGCGTCGTAATCCAAACTGTTCTTGAAAGCCGCTGTACTGTAGGTGTTGTTGCTCTTGCCTGCCTCCACCAAGATAACATCCAAGATTCCATCTTGGTAAAAGTCGTAGAACACCGCCATAGCCGTTTCGTTGTGAAACGGATTTAACGCTTGCCATTTCACTTGAAATTTTCGGGTGAAACCAACGCACGAGTAGCAAGCGACATTCTCCAGTAGATAAGAACGCTTTTGCTTGCTAACGGTCGACTTTAACGTCGCCAATAGATCCGGATAACCGTCCATGTTGAAGTCACCGCCGCGAAGAGTAATGGTGTCGGTGTACCGGTGGCCATCAGGCTTCACGAAGCCCCATAGCGCGTTGTTACCGTCCCGGAAGTTTACTTGTAAATTGTACCATTTGTCCGAGTACATCATGATCGTGCTGTTGGTACATTCCTCGTCGAAACAAAGAGGCAGAAGCAAATCCATCTTTCCGGTCAGCTCGACGTCCAGATACAAAGCTTGTCCAAGCTTGCCTTCAAAGTGTGGCAGAGAAATATTATAGGGGAAGGGGATCGTTTCGTGAAACCGGAAGCCTTGCTCGGTACCGAGCCAAATTTCGAAGCACTTGCTCGTGCTGACGACCAGGTCCGCTAAGAAATCGTTGTTCAAATCCAAGTAGGCGTTCGAATGGGGCTGACTGATCGGTGGAAGATGTTCGGTTGATTCGTCCATCGGGATGGCTATGGGTGGCCTTCTACTTTGGTCGAACACCCAAAACGTCCTGCTGCCGTTTTCGTTTACGCCAAACAAATCTATTATCATGTCCCCGTTAAAGTCCAGTGCCAATGGTTGCCCTATCATCTTTATCAACGGTTGGCCTTCGTTCGTGCAATTTAAACGACCATTTCCACCCCATAAAATATAAGCGAATGATAGTTTACTTTCCTTGTCGAACGTGATTACCAGCACATCCATGAACACATCTCCGTCGAAATCTCCCGGTACAATGCTAACGACCATACTTCGAAAGGTGCAGCTGAGATCCGAGCTAGGTCTTAACAACGGCTCTTGTTCGGCAGCTAAGAAAATTTGTACGGTGGTTCCGTTCTTACGCAGCATAAACACATCGGTCAGCTCGTCGGAATTGAAATCACCGAAGGCAGCTGGCATGCCGTCGAGCACGTTCCCGAATACTGCTGGAGTAATGTCGCTGCATCTTACAGTGATCAGAACCGTAACGACATGTACCAATATCAATGGGATCCGCATCGTATCTGCCATTTACCTGAAAATAAAATATTTCCCACGTTACTATCGGCTCTGCTTTAATTTTCTTTTTCGTCAAATCAAATTTACTGGTCTAACCTACAACTTTTTCGTACGCAGATACGGCTATATAACGCGACAAAGCACAAACAGGAACAACGATGCGTTGATCCCTGATAGATTTCCTACGACTCGCGACATTTTCTGGTGTAAAGAGATATCGTTTGACTTACCGTTTAATAAGTTACGCGTATGTAAATTAACCAACTTCCTTGTTACTCATTTCTGTTTTGACACCTGACTCATAATTACAATCGCCAATCACCAACTACAGACGGCCGCGCCATCGAAGTTGTATACCACCAGTGACTATAGATACAAAAAGACTGGACATGCCTTTGTTCTTGAAGGTTTATGATTTTAGGGATCCCAGACACCCCAAGTGAAATTAAGTCTGCATGCATAAACATTGTTGGGGCGAGACAGCCGTATCTGTTTTATCAGTGCCTATTTTTATCACACCTCGTATTAACAGCTGAAAAAACACATTTTAATTAACCAGTAAAATGAACAATAAGCTCGATTTGAAAATCGGTTGTCAAAATAATTAATTACGCTATAGCAACTTTCTAATACAGATTTTGTGAGGATCTAGCCAGTAATTAATTAATTGCTCGATCACCGTTTACCTGAGCTGAGGAATCTTCATAGTTTTCTACTTATAATTAATTAATTACTGCTGGGTTCCTCACAGAACCTATACCGCAGTTCACCAGAGTCCATAACTGCGAAAAGACCAGTTTTCGTTCTTCGCGCTTCTCCAGTGCGCATCTTCGCCCTGATTGGCGATACTCCCAAACGAAGTGGAAAGCGATTAGCAGAGAGCTCGCTGCGTTCCCCCACCATCTTTCAACCTGCGCGTCGCAGTTATGGACTCTGGTGAACTGCGGTATATATTAGAAATTTGGATCTTTAATAGCACGAACGAAATAAACTATAGAACCATCTATTTATTTCGTTAGTCTTGATATTTGTGGGTAGATGGCTATAGCGGTTCCATTTTTAAAACCGCGTATCGATACAAAATTAAAATTGGAACTTGTACAACATTTTTAGCTTCTTCGATCGATTATTTTTCTGATTACACAGTTACATTTTGTTACATAAAAAGAAAATTGCACAAGGTAATCTTGTTGACAGTTTGAGCGACGCTTTATTTATCCGCACGTGTACATACATTTCACACATCCAAAGATGAAAATATGTATGTTGTATGTATGTATGTATGTATCTAGAATCTCTTACGATTGGAAAAGATTGCATCATCATTTTGCAGGCAACAGTTATTAATAGTTCTGTAAAAAAAAATATCAATCTCAAAGTTTAATCGGTTGTTTTACAGATTTTCAATAGGGATTTCGTACAATTTGGAAGTGCAATTTACATTACGATCGTCGGTAACGCTAATTCAAGCATACACGTGTTTCACTTATAACAATTTATGCACGAATATATACATATATTTATATATGTATAATAATAATTATAGAAACGAATCTGAAGAGTTTTACCGCATAGCGTGAAACCGAATGTTAAATATGAATTTTGGTGTATACGAGAAAACTTTGAAAACGAATAACAAATTGTATGTATTAAATTGCCGAAGAATGATCAGAACTACGAGCTGATTATTATTTTTCGGAGCAAACGATAACTTTGAGAAAGGTAGTTGAAGGCATATTTTTAGGTAAATGATCACAGGAAATGACAGGTACATTGAATCGATCCGCGACGGTTCGAATTTGTAGAGTCGCGCGTGTGGTGACGTTACGTTCGCAAATAGAGCAAATTAAAATATACGTACGCGATAACAAACGGAAGGTAATTCATACTTTGGAAAGTACCCACATTCGACCTTTATTGCGGGCTAAGCGTTACGCACAGGACTTATCATTAGACGCAAGGTACACGCGTTAACGTCGACCTGCGTAACGCTATCAAAAAGAAAAGAAAAGAAAAGAAATCAACACGATATAAAGAGACGTAAATTTTGAGCGTTTTCAGAGTGTCCTGTTTTTACATTGAATCGCATTTCGGCGACGCTTTTGGCGCATACTCGATACGTATTAAATTCATAACGAATATGGCGATAATGACTATGACTATAATTGTGATGATCTATAATGAAAATGATGACGATGATGATTATAATAATATTAGTAATAGTAATAGTAATAATAATACCAACAATAATAGCAGTAATAATAGTAATAATAACAACAATAATTAAAAAAGAAAAAGAAAAGAAAAGAAAATGCATTCTACTGTGCAAACGAATTTTTTTCTTTCGAACGGTATCTCTCCGTCTAGCATACCCGACGATACTTTCTATTCTTTTGCTTATTTGTTTTGTACAGTTTCACATAAATAAATGAAAGCGATAGTTTCTTTTTCTTTTTGAACGACTACAGCTTGGTAGAAATTAACGCGTACAAATATACATCTATGTAACATGTGTAGAACCATTGTTGTATTGCACCCGTGTTCCTCGCAACGGTGCTGGTGAACGAGTTACTCTTTCTTCTTGTCTTTCTCGCGATCGGTATCAGTCGTACAATACAAAATGGCAGTTGCTTGTGATAAAACACGGTACGATACGAAGAAATAAACGAAGTCAAACGCGAGGATATTTATTTTAATACTGTTGCCATGTCCATCCGTTCCTTCGCGCTCAAGCAAACACGCGATATACTCTCGATGTTTGGCGAGCGGGCGTGTATGCGTGCGCGCTTTCAGAAGTCGGATCGAGGTTCTAACGATGGTCTTTTACCATTCGATCGATCGTTGAAGCTCACGCGTTATTGAAAAAGACGGATCGAAGCGGCTCGATTCGATTCGAGAACGCTTCGATGTTATCTTCATTCTCGTTTCTCGATCGTAAGGCACTTAATGTTCGTTAAATGAAAAAAAGGAGGTGCTATAAAAATGTAAAATTTTCTTCTCTCTCTCTCACATACACGCACTCTGTATCTCTCTCTGTATCATACTCTCCCTCCCTATCTCTCTTACCATGCACACACTAGCGCGTTTGTTTTATTGGTAGAACAAATAGAAACGTAACGTTCCATTCGACTTACTTGTTCTACAAATATTTGCGTACGATTTAAAGTTGGCACACGAACGAACAGCGAACCGTGAATTTATGATTTCCCGTGGCCGGAAGAATTTCGTTTGTCCATATTATCCCTTTGGGCTCTGATAAGTCGCGACCGACTTCTTCTGTCTGACGTACTTTTTCCCTCGGAAAAGAAAAGATAGACAACCGTTCGTCAACCGTCACGCTCTCCCGTTCTCTTACGTTTCGTCGCGTGAAATTTGGAGCTTTTATCAAGGACGATCGACGAACGTTCAACTAAACCGAATTGTCCGCGATGAAACATGCGGAAACGAAGCGTTCGAGGGAGGAGAACGTGGCGACCGCCGAAATAGTTCGGCTAGAAGAAGGGTATTCGTATCGCGTGATTCGAGAAAGCGTTTGATTCGGGATGGACGCGGCGAGGTAGGTTCTATAAAGCAAAACTCGCCGTGTAACGGTACGGGTCAATGTCGCGATTCGTCTACGGTTTTAACGCTGTCCAAAACTTGCTTCTCTTGCCTCTCTTCCTCCTTCTCTGGATTGTCCCAAGTTTGCCGTTCTCCAGAGCCAAATAATATATAGAAAATCGCGCAAACGATATATACGCCCGCTGCAAGGAGGAAGACGATACGCCACTTGGCATGCGTCACCTGAAATAGAAAATAAAAAAGACGGTTCGCGCTAGAACGACGTTCGTTTCCTTTGCTAGACGAATATCGAAAGAGAACGAAGAATATTACCGTTCCAACGAGTATGTATCCGGCGATAATAGGCGCGAGCAGACCGGCCAGATTGGCCAGGCAATTGGTGAAAGACATCAAAACCCCGGCGAATTTCGGCGAGATATCCAGGTGATTCACCTTGAATCCCGAATAGATACCACCGTTCAAGCCTAAGCCTATCGTTAATAGGCTAACGGTCAACCAGGCGTCGCAGCCGGTATAGGAAGCGGCTACCAACGCGATCGCTGGTCCGAACTGACCGACGCTGTTGATGATTTTTCGCGTGATCGTATGATTGAATCTCCCACTGGAGATCATCCAGTCGGCCACGTGAGAGATCACCATGGAAAATATCCACATGGCCAAGTATGGAAGGGCGGAAACGGTACCGTTCTGAAACACGGACGAATATTAACGTCGATTTTTAGTAGCTGGCAAAACCAACGTTTCCGCTTCTTTTCTCCCGTCCGTTTCTTTCTTTTCTTCTTTACCGATTTAATATCAAAGTGTAAGATTTGCTTCATGAACGTCGGTAACAAGGTCATCAGCGTCTCGTATCCGTAGTTTTGACCCATGTGCGCGATCAGGATGGCCCAGAAGGGTAAAGAGGTGACGATCGACCACCATGGTACAGGGGGTGACTGGAGAAAGAGGGAAAAATTTTAGCCGATCGGCGTAAGAACGAAGATAATCGAGAGTGGAAGAATACTCACGGAGGCTCCGGCGTTGCCCCACAAAGCGCTAAGTATATACTTTTTCTCATCCTCCGCGATATGAGGATGAGTTTCCGGATCTTCGTATATGAAGATCAAGAAGGCGATGCACCATATGGTTCCAACAGCTCCGAACACGTAAAAGATCGATGGCCAGCCATCGTCGAAACCGTACTCAGACAGAATACCGCTCAGCGGCATCGAGATCACGGTACCAAACTGTGCACCTGCGCAAAGAAAATTGCGAAAAATCCATCTATTAGTACAAGGAAAAGTGACTCGGATGGTTGAAAGAAAGCAATAGAAGAACAATAAAGAAGAAGAAGAAGAAGAAGAAGAAGAGGCAGTTGGTCCTAGAGGTTCCCTCGAGGCAACAACACACGAGGCCACGGCACGCGACTCGACTCGATTCGACTTGACCCGATTTGGTCGATAGGCAACAGGATAACAGGCGAGAAAGTAGAGGCGCAGCGAACGGGCTTACCGGCGTACACGAAGGCTCCCATCCTGCTGCGTTCGTTCGGCGGTATCCACTTGGCCAACAATGCGTGCGTGCAAGGCACAATCGGACCCTGCAATAGGGATAATCCATTCCTAGGGGGAGGAAATACACCCGAACGATCAAAAAAGCGTTCACACATGACGACGGGCTTCTGTATCCTCTCTTAATATTTAAACACTAATATTTGCGAATGTGAATCGTTATCTCATATGTCGCGGCTATCGCGGTGCAACACGTATGTATCGAGGTGCAGCAGCCATTTAATCCCGGGAATACTGATGGCCGGATTGATCCGCGGCCACGCTCTCGTAAGAATCGATTATTCCTTGCTTACCTCGCCCAATCCTTGGATGAATCGTACGACCATTAGATAGTAGAGTCCGGCACGCGCGGACGCTGGTACCAGTAGTCCAAACACCGAGTTGATCAGCATCCCGACACCGAGGAAATATTTCGATCCGTAACGTTTCGCGAGTATACCGAATGGTATCTGGGTGATCACGTAACCGTAGAAGAAGGAACTCAGCAGAAATCCTTGCTGCGTGCTGTCCCATACAAACTCACCGTCGCTACTCGGATCGTGATCCTGCGAGGGAAAAGAAATTTCTAGATATCTTTCGCAACGAACTGGAAGACCCGTCGCGAGTCTATACTCACGGGACCGGTCGCGTTATCGAATACGATGCCGCACTCGTTGGAGGACGTTACGTCCTTGTTGTCTTCGGTAATGGCCGTGTGATTGACCATCGCTACGATCGCCACGGACATGTTGGTCCTCATCACGTAGGCGTTCGCCATACCGAGGAACAGCATCAGCGTCACTATGTGACGCGACCCCACCCATGCTGCAACAATAAATGTTTGCTCGTTAAGCTACGCGCAACCGAGACCTTTGCTCGCCGAATCAAACGAGTGAAAACAATTTATGATCGGCGACAGACGAACCCCGCGAATGGAAACGTTATTCGTTAGAAGCGATCGATTTCGATGGAAAAAGATAAGGTGAAAGGAAAGGGAGGGTAGAAAACGGGTGACGAGTGGCGGAAGAAGCTCGCCAAGGACGCGTGTCCGGCCACGGAGGGACAAGGTCGAGGCGAGCAACCGTGAGCCGTAACAGCACGCCGCTGTTGGCTCGACACCTCGTCTCGTGCCCTCGTCCCTTTCTTCCTGCCTCTCGTGGACGCCGCTGGTTCGCGGCCTCTTACGGGCACAGAACCGATCGTCGAAATTCGCCACGCGCCGTTTATTTATAATATATTTGTCCAACGTGCAACCACATCGCGAGATAATAACGCAGGCCTGCTCAATAATAGAATCGTTGCAACCTTTATTTTAGCGATGTAACGCGTCGGCGGAACGATCGGTCGAATCTTTACGTCGAGAAATTTCACGCGGCCCTGAATTCTTTTCCCCGCGTGGCAACCGTGTTCCGACCGCCGCTCTTCCTTCACCACGCCCCGACCCGTTCCTGAACGATCGAGAATTCTCACGATCAGTCGAGTCGAGCCGAGTCGAATCGAAATCGATTCGTGCTTTTCGGTAACGCGCGTCATGAACTTTGTACGTTCCCCCCGTCCCGATCCCCTCTTCTCGATCGCTTCGTTTGCCGTTTACTCGTTGATTTACGATTCCGTGCGAGCGTCGCGATGACAAGAATCTTTCACTTCTGGAAACGTTTTAACGCTTCGTTTTAACAGCTAACGGGGAGAAAATTTTCGTGCCGTCCTTGTCTGCGAATGATTTTCAATTCTGCTCCGATCGCTACGTCTTTGCATTTCGGGCGCACCCTTTGCCCGACCATCGAGTGAACATTCGTTGAGCACGTGGTCGCTCGATGGAAACGGTTCTGATGTATAGTGACCGCCCTTGCGCGGTAACCTTCCTCCTATGCAAGCATCGCCTGAAATATTGCTAAATGCATGCAGAAAGAGATGGAGAGGGAGAGAGAAGCAGTGCAAAATCAATAGAAAAATTGAAGGAACAAATGAACGAGCAACCGAAGTGAGACGTAAAGAGACGTGCTCATTTCGCGCACGTGACGCGGTCGTTCGGATTTTGGTTTCAGATCATTCGATCGATCGCTGATCGCGAATGACTCGTTTTACGCTGATCACGATACTTAGAAGCGTCAAAGTCCGCGCTAGACCGTCCGATCCTCGGTGTAACGTTTGCACTGCAGTTTATTTCGATAAAAATCGTACAATCGAGTACGATCGGGTCTTTTTGGCGACCCCTCGATCTAGTTTCTCCCCTTCGAATGCGTCTGGATGCTTTCTTCTTCGATGGAAGTAAGAGACATCCGAAAATGCGAATGCAATATAAAACGGTTGAATACAGTCGCAATCAAGAAGGAGGAATGCTATGCGCTTGGAAAACACGTCTAAGCACATGGACGACCGCTTACTCACGGCATAGAGTTTCCCTTTAAATGGATTGGAATAGGGGACAGAGAAGATAAGATAGGGAAGGATGGAACACGGAGGGGAGAGCGAAAGAGAGAGCGAAGAAAACGAAGGAAAAGAAAGGGCGGGTTACGGCAGAAGATGACGGCGGAAACACGTGGTTTCTCAGGGCGATTTACAGAGTATGCAGCGCGTTTCGTCTGGCCGGTAGTCTCGTTGGGCGCAGCGATTCCGTAACGTGATTCAATGGTGCCCATTAAACGGCCAACGACAGTGTTCGAGCTCGAAGCCACGAGTATTTGTAGAAACAGGAATAAAACGCGTGAACGCGTGAAGCTTCGTGTGTGACGTACATTTTCGTTTTCGCGCAGGCCTGTCCTCCTCTTCCAGTCCGGGTTGCTCCCATACCAACACGTGGCCATTTCGTCCTCTGTTCTCAGCCTGCACTCTATCGTTGCCGTTCATCGCACGCCCGACACGCGTTCGACGGTTCGACGCACACGCGATCACACGAAAGCAAACACGAGTACGAGTACGAGTACCGAGTACGAGACAGTTAGTTGTCTCCGCTTGCGTCGAGATTGTGAAATAACAGCAAAAAGGCGCGTGAACGAGACTGAGTACGCGACTTAGCGAGCTTGGCTTGCGACGAGATAGAAAATAATCTCGATTCTTACGAAACTCTTACAGAAAAATCACGTTTCCGTCGAACGAAACGGCGCGACACTAGGCCGAGACGAGGAAACGAGCGAGAAGGCGAAGACGACGAGGATGAAGTCGACAGCGACGACGACGGCGACGACGACACTCCGTCGAGATACGTCTTTAGGAACGAGCAACCACTCACTGTACGCCAATAACATCGGTCTCTCGCAGCGGCGAATCGGTTGACGGTTTCATGTGCACACCGATAACGATGATTAACAACGGAACCGTGTTCGGAAGCGAGCACGCACCTGTCTCTTTGTCTCTTTCTCGCTCGCGTTAGTTTGGCCGGCGTGCAGCGGGCTGCCGGGGGGCGGGGTGGGGAACCTAGCGACGAAACGAACCGCTCGTTCGACCGGAACCCTTTGACCAATCGTCGCCCGAGTTTCGCCAATCCTCCTCTCCGGTTGGGCGCACGCGCGCCATCTGTTGCCATCTAACTACTTTGCTCCGATTCCGCCAATAGGAAGGTCGCGCGCCAACCCACGTTCCTTTTGGCGCTACAATTTCAATTGGTACGATCCGTCGAAATGCAACAAACCGCGATGCTACTCTTTCGATCGCTGGACAATTTCGCGCGGAATTTTCTCGAGTTTCCTTTTCTTTCTTTTCGAGTCTCGACCTGGTCGCTGCCATCCGCGGACTTTCCGAGGTTGGCCGAGACGAGTTCCGTTCAAAAATATCTTTGAAAATTACGTAACTAAAATTCGCTATACGCTCTGTACCAACTACCAACTTTCCACGATTTTACGCTTATCTCGACCATCCGGTTCGATCAGAGAGATAACGCGCGATACGAAATTCTTCCAGACCCGTTATCTTTTCACGCGGCGACGTCCCACGGATAGAAATCGCGTAATCGCGATGCCGTCACGGCCTCTATTACGAGCGTCGCGAAAGAAAAATACGATTATTTCGGGCGACGCGGATTCCTTTTTCACTTCTTCGTCGCACCGACTGATTTGTCTCGTTTCCTCGACAGGAACCGTACCATGAAACGTCATTCGTCGCGAGCAGAATCGTGTCACTCGTATGTTTAACGAGAGACTCGTTTCGTGATTAATTGCAAGGTCGCAACGATGCTGCAACATCGGTGGAATGAAATTCCACCGACGTTGTTTTCCGAACGAATACCCTTCCCTCCTTTTCCCCGTCCTGACACGATTTGTCCTTTTTGTTCTTCGTTTTTCTCCGCTCGTCTACGCGTTTATTGGTATCCATTTTGTTAATAAGCGCGGCGGTAGAACGCGCAAATTATCGCGTTAACCGTGGCGCCGAATCGCGAACAAAAATAGAAATACGCGATACGCTAATAATAGTAATAGGAAAGATTTCGGTTGCCAAAAATCATGTGCGTCTGTGCACGTGCAGGTGCGTTAGCGAGATCGAACGATTACCAGCGATCGATGATCGATACGACGCGAGGGTATTCGCGTTTAATCCCTCTCGTGACGAAGCAGTGGATTTCACCGAGATTGCGTAAACGCCGCACTGTTATTATCCAAGAATCATGACCGAGCGTATTTTTTGCGATTCGAGAAATCACTTGAACCGCGATTCACGATATCGCGTCGTTAATCGTTCGATTGCATAATCTTCACGAGTTCGAGGAGTGCAAACAAAACAGATCTCGTTTTATCGACGATTACGACGATGGTTTTATTACCGATGGTCGGTGATCCATGATCGATCGAAGAGCCATCTCGATCGACAAACGCGAGAGGAATCTTGCCGATACTCGAACGGTAAAAAAGAGGTCCGCGTTTACCGATCTGTTCGTTTGAACGCTGCAGGAACCCGTTCGATTTTTGCGAACGGGTTTCGAGTTTCGAGTAAACGAATTCGATGACGTACCTTGCTGGCACGGCCTCGATGCCCACGATTCTACCGGTCGGTTTGGTTTGGCTAGACTGCTGCTCGGTATCGGTGCGAGTCAACAGGAAACGCGCGACAGGCCCCTAAACGCATTATTCACTTGACAAAGTGGAAAATAACGTCCGCCTTGGCTGAGGAACTGAGCGAGCTAAGCTACGCCACCCACGATCGTTCCAGTCACGGCACGAAAGCTTTTTCGGTTTCAAGCGTGCCGAGTAAACGCGAACTCGCGCAGCGGATGATCGAGGATCGAGTGTTGACCCGCGACGCGATCTTTCCTTTCCACGAACTTTCGCACGATTCGTGTCAAGGTGTACACGATTGCTGCGATCTTCTAGGGACGATATTCGGTGTAAGTTAATCCGTTCGGAAACTTCGTCTCGCTGGTTTCTCGATCATCGCTATTAATCGCGTGCGAACGAAACGAACGCATTAACCTCCGGTACGCGTAGACGACCGCGTTGGCGTCGATCAATTAACGCGTCGCGACGTGCATATGAAGTAGCAAGTCTCGCCAGAAGTCTCGGTAACGCGTCGTTTCGGGAAACGAAACTTTCTACTTTCATGAGTTCGTGATAACCAGGAGCGATACAACGCTCGACCGGTACGAAAAACACCGTACACAGGCCTCGTTCTTCGTGGCACGGATAGAATTCTTAATCGATCCTATAGCAAATCAACCTTCGGAACTTTCGAAACTTGGTAGCTTCGACGATGAAAAAACATTGTTGAACCTTGTTCTATGACGATCGAGGGTCACCGGGGAGAATCGGCAAACGGGGCGGTCGAATGGCCCGGGAAATCATGCAACGACTCATTGGAATTCCAGCGTAGTTTGCGCTCTGTCGATCAATTGTTTCCGCCTGGTTGCTTGTTTGTTATTAGCTACGCGCGTTTTATCCGTTCGGTTTGTGACACGACTGTTACAGAGAGAAGAAGAAGGCAAACGCACGAGTTGCGGCATGTATTATTCAACGAGAAGGACGTAGAACGGTTGGATACGATTCGTTCTTCTCGTAGTGCAAGGAAACCGAATCCTTTTCCTTGTTCCCGCTCGATTTAGCCTCGAATGACGTGAGCGGACAAATCGCGAGATCGTATCTGTCTTTTCGGTTAATCGCTTCGCCGTCTGATGAATTGCAACGACGATATCACCGCGAAATCTCCAGCAAGAGTAATGAAGAGATAAAAAGAAGGAGACGGCGGATGTTCGAGCCGGAACAAGGTCGATCCGTAGATCGAACGACTAGTTTGGTGCATATTTATGGTGCACCTACGCTACCTTCGTGGCTGCTTCTCGTGTGCGACTGCGCCACTTTTTCTTCTTTTTTTCTCTTACCGGAGGCTAATCGAACGAGTTTCGAGACAGCGTTACGTGTTTATTCCGGTTCTCGTTATCCTAGTCGTTCGAAAGTTGGCGGCGCGATCTCGATCGGTCGCCGCGTACCTTGTATCCTCGCGCTGAAATTCGCCCTTCGGCGAAAGACGCGTAGAAGCGAAAACGGTTTGGCGCGAACGCGAACCAAAGTCAATTCGATGGTGAAGAGACGGTATCCACGGTCGCGATCCGTCGATGAGGAAGCGCGGGTGGCGGAAGGAAATGAAAATTTAATAAGAACGCTTATGTAACCGAGGATAGAGGAAAACGTTCGAAAGATGTAGATCGTCGAGTGTATTCGAAGGCCGCCCTTTAGACTGTTCGCGAAAAATAGTCATCTTAAGCTTTGTTTCGATAAATGGGTCGTCAAGGTGGGACGGGAAACCGATATCGGTCACGTACGTTCTCGGTAAAACAAGGTATTTTGTATTTGAGATAAGGGCTATCTATGGTCGCGCGAGTCACGCGAATGGATCGCGTTTTCTCGTTTAAGGGGAATCGATTTTGATTCACGAGGGACAATCGAACTCGATCGGGACAATGGCACTGGAACGGGTTTGGTTTACGCGAGGTGAACCGAGTTGCAAGTAGGTCGCTACTCGAGACTAGGACGATCGCTTTCGAGCTGGTATTTCTCGAGGAGGGTTCTTCGTCGCGAGCGGAATTTCCACGCGTCGCGACGCGTCCAAGCGAGAAGGCCGCGGCAAACGAGCGTGTAACGAGAAAATCGATGTCGCTTTGACGCGTTAGAGCGTCGCGTCGCATCTGGACCGGCCGATGTTGATCCTTCGAATCACTCGTAAATCGAGCGCGATAATTAATCGTTCATTCGAGAGAACGCGATATCTCTTTCGTTAACGCTTTAAAATCGATACGACTCGTCGAGCCTGCAAGTATCTTGATTGAAGAAAAAATTTCACATTTGTTTTTAAATAATTTCGTTCTTACCGGTATCGTATTTGCGTATCGCCGACTTAGTCGCGTAAACTAATTAAAAAATCAAGGCGATCGCGCGAGATAACGACAATTCCGGATTAACGATGGCGCGAGATACATTATCTGCAGCGGTGCACCGAAGGTTACTTTCTTTTCACGAAAAATAAGAAAGACACTATGTTATGATAGGTATCATTCTCAATAAGAGACGGGGAGGTTTGGGGTTAACGGATGTCGTTTCGCGAGCAAACATCACGAAGCGGCTGCAACAATCTTTTGATTGAACAGCTGTTGTTTTTCTTCTTGTCAAATAAGTAAGTAATGAACAATCTGGGGCATGAAAAATATTTGTTAAGCAGACACGGAGTTTCTCGAGATCACGCAAAGCGTGGCACGGTGGTCGGCATCTGTGCGGCAGAAAAGTTTCTCTCGCGGTGATTTCGGCAAGGAAATCGTCTGTACGGGGAATGAAAAGACTCACCAGTCGGCGGTGGCACATCTGCCTCGAAGACCTCCGGTTCCTTCACTTCCGGCTTCCGATCCACGGTTATGGCGACTTTCTTTGCCATGGTAGTCCGCGAGGATTCTCGTTCCCTACCGTCCTCGACAGCTCGGAGCGTAGGTCCGTTTCTCTCGGTTACTCAATCGTCGGAGCAAAGACTAGCGCGCCTGTCTCGCTGATACTGTTGGGAACGCTGCCGAACTCGCGACACTTAGCCGCAAACACCTAGTGGACGTTGACCAATTAGAAGACGCGATTCGAGCCCCACCGGTGTCGGCTTCCTCCCCCACGCGGCGATATCGCGTCCTATGAATTGGATTTACGCGGGAAATCAACGGATTTTGCCTCTCTCGCTATTCCACCTGTTCCCTCTTTACCCGCTAAACTTTTTTCTAAACTTCCTCCACCACTTTGTGTCCTTTCTTCTATTCTTTATTCCTTTTGTGTCCTGTTTTACAATCGTATCGTTCGTCACGGATCTCCCACCATGCTTTCGATGCCTCCTCTCTGCTCGCGATATCGCGACCGCCGTGACCAACGGGGGTACAATTTTTCACGCGGAATCGACCCTCTGAACGATCGAAATCCCTCGGATCCAAGAGTACACATCGATTAGACATTCATGTTCACCGTCACGTGAACGAGAGGAAAATCGGTTACGCTCCGTTTGCACGGTCGTGTCGCGGGAAATAATAGAGGAGGAAAGAATAGGTGAAGAGGATCCGATAGAGCGCAATTACGCGGTGAGCGATAAGCGAACACGGTTAACGTTGGTAACGCGTGATAAATAAGACGGCGAAGATAAGTGGTTCGCGATAACGCAACGATCGCGTTAATCCCTGAAAAGAGATCCATCTTGCCAGGTTGGACAGCGCGCACAGCGAAAAAATATTTTTCGAAGGCGCGTCATCATTTGGCTTTTGACGTTCGCGCGAATCTGAGCATTTGCGCAGACCCCTGGTAATCCGGAGCACGCGTAGCCCATCACGACGGCACACTCGCGCGATCTCGGCAACCCGCCTCCACTCTCGGCGAACTAGCGTACGCTGATAACAGGACGTCGGTGGGCTCGACGCACGTGTCCAGCACCAACTCGTCACGCGACACGTCGATGCAAGATTCGCGGTCGCAAGGTCGGATTTCTCCCGTGCGAAAAATCATTTTACCGCGTCGTCAGCTAATACTCTTCTCCTTGTACTCTGCCTCGCCACTTCGTCGGTGCCTACCATCACGCTAATCAGCCGTGTAAAGCTCACGGCTATCACGGATATCGATTCAATTTCGCCACGACTGGTTGTTTGCGACATAGTCGTTTATCGCCGCGAAAACCAACGAAATTACATCCCCCGTCCCTCGATCCAATAGTCGATACGATACGAACAAAACCTGTTATTTTCAAAGCTGCTCGTTTTCCAGATGCGTTTCGAAAGGCGGTGTTTGAATAATTTACCACGGACGACGGGAGTGGGCGTGCCTCGTCGTCGAGGCCGCGTCTTTACTTTTCGTGAAAACAGAATTTCGTGGAAAGTTGCACGATAACATGCATTCCGTTCTGTGCGTTCTCGTCTTCAGCATGCTGTCGGCGGGTGATTGCCGTGCGTTCGCGTACGATCATTCGTTTGTGCAGCTAATCGACGACGCCGTCGGTCTGCTCTTTCCGCCGGTAAAAGTGTCGGCGTATTTGTGCCACCTCGACGAAGGTGAGGAAACGCTAGCGGAATTACGCAACGCACGATTCTGATCTTAATACGATCGTCGTTTAGAATTTAACGTTTTCAGATACCGCGATCACCTTGTCTAGGCTGATGTCGAGTCACGGGCTAATTCACGAGATTCATCGGGATCTGGAGGAATTCGCGAGGGTGCCGCACGACGCTTGGGATCATCGAGCGTTGTACGTGCTGGATTTGGACTGCGACCAGGCGATTTCGTTGTTGCGAACGGTATCGTCCAGCTTAATTAGCAAACAACGAACACGCGGCTCTCTTTAAGCCTCGAGGCTTTAAGAAAGAGAACGGTAGTCGACGAAGCCTGGTTATCGTCGCGTGTTAATCGAGTAGCACGTGTTAAGTACTTCTGTTGAGTAGCACTCGTTAGGTGTACCGGCACTTTTTTCCCCCGATATCTGATTAACAGGTAGTTGAAGAAAATTATACACGACAAATTGTAACGACGGAGGAGACAATTAATTGATGCGATAATTACGGGCGAAGCACGCGAGTCTTTATCGGGCGCTAGTTGCATCGTTTAACGTATACCTTGTGTTTACGTTAAAAAGAAAATACATAGTATTTGCGAGCCGAATTTGCTTCTGTTTATTCGCTCATTATTATAGGTACAAAATCGAGACGATTTTCATTAGTCGATCGAAAATCGAACCATTTAACGGGTTAATGATTAGCGATGGAAATATACGAGCTCGAACGAAAAGAACGTTCCCGTCGAGTCACCGATCACGATTACATCGGTTCAACGAAGGATTCGCGTTACATTACACTATTACACGATACGTTGGCTGATACGAACGCACCGAGAACAAAATGAGCGTATTCTGGTTCGCAGGCGAACGGAAGTGGTTTCTTCGTCGCGCCAATAAGGTGGCTTCTGCTTCGGGATCGAACGATCCTCCTCGACAATTCGACCGAGAATCACGAATCGTTGGACGACGCGAAAATCTTCAATCGTATGGCCATCTATCCCGACAGCGAGATGATTCTAGTTAGAAAGCTTCGACAGGACTTCGCGGAGATATCGTCCGTCTACAGGACCAGTCGTTATCACGAGGTCACGACGGAGGATCGAGGAAATTGGACGATCGACGGAGGAGTTCGAATCCGCGACTTCCAGCCTACTTCCAGACGACGCGCGAATCTTCGATCAACGCCCTTGACAGCCTGCCTCGTGGTACTCGAGATTTAATTTTTTGTCTCGCGACGGAAGAACTTTTGTCGCGAATGAATTGTTCGATTAAATTCATTCGATCGACTCGCGCGATAAGATAACGGCCGACGAAGCTTTCGAGCGAATCGATCCGACTGCGAAAGAATCGAAACGAAGCGTAAACTTTCTATCGTAAATCGACGTTATCGGTATCTATTCGTAGATGAGCGATCCCGATACCATCAACCACTTGACCGATTTCAAATACAAGCACATAGATCCAATAACCAAAACCAATTATCCCTGGTTACTGCATATCGTGCATCGAATGAACGCCACGTGAGTACCCTTTCGCCTGTTACCCGATAATTACGCGGCCGAAATTCACCCATCGAATCCACCACTGACAGCATCGAAATTCGAACGACCAACAGCTGGGGATACCGAAACGAGAACGGATCGTGGAACGGCATGGTTGGTATGCTGCAAAGTCGGCAAGCGGATTTAGGAGGCACGGCGACGTTTCTGATTCCGCAACGCATAGGAGTGGTCGATTACGTGCAGCTTTACACGAGTACCAAGTAAGCTATCTATCGGTAGACGAACACGTTACGTTTTCGTTAATCTTTCCAACCCGCAGAGCTCTATTCGTGTTCCGTCAACCATTGTTGTCCGCGGTCAGCAACATATTCATTCTACCGTTTCAACGTTCCGTCTGGCTCGCCATCGGCGTGTTTCTCTTGCTGGTCCTCGGTTTGCTCTGGTTATCGTCCAGTTGGGAGTATCATCGAGGGACGTCGGAAAGCGATTCCACGCTCACGTACCGGCACCGACTGAATCAGGCGCGGCAGACGGTCAGCGACAACCTGATGGTGGTGCTGGCCGCTGCGGCGCAACAAGGTAAGTATACCGTCGATCGTCGCGTTGGAGGAAATATCGACGGATAATCGTACAGGATCCTCCTACGAACCGTACCGCGTTCCATCTCGGATCGTCACTCTGATGCTTTTACTCGCTGCCCTGAGCTTGTACACCTCCTACACGGCCAACATCGTCGCCTTACTCCAGTCGACCACCGACTCGATCAAAACCGTAGCCGATCTGTTGCACAGCCCGCTAAAGTGCGGCGCTCACGACATCGTCTACAACCGGTACTATTTCAAGGTACTCGTCGATATTGCTAACGCGATCACGGACGAACAGACGAATAAAAATTGTCTCTCGCGGCTCAGTCGTTTCAAGATCCGATACGAAGGGCTCTGGTGGACGAGAAGATCGAGTCGAGAGGTAAAAACGATTCCTGGATGACGATAGAGGAAGGTGTACGTCGAGTAAAAAACGAGTTGTTCGCGTTCCACGGGGAAACCGGTCCGATTTACGAGCTTATGCAACTGACGTACCAAGAAGAAGAGAAATGTGGAATCACCGAGATAGATTTACTGAAGGTGATGTATCCGCTGTTCGCGATTCAGCCTCGATCACCGTATAAGGAAATCATCAAGAATACGTAAGTTTCGCGACGATCCCGTCACCCTGGCGAATTTCGAGCGGACACCTTTCAGGGCCTTACTGTTGGGTGAAACTGGTCTAACGTATCGGGAGGAATCTCGGCTGTACACGGCGAAACCCAAGTGTCACGGTCGAACGAGCGTCATCAGTATAGGATTCACCGAGTGTTACTTCGCATTTTTAGCGATGGGTTATGGCTCGTTGCTCAGCCTGCTCGTATTCGCCGTGGAGTTTCTATGGTATAAGAGGTACGCAAGAATACTTCAACGCGTGCTTTCGATCGTTTTTCCAATGCGTTCTTTTGCAGATGCATGCAGTTGAAAAACGAAGAAGACGATCACGACGACGACGAAGTTTGGAGCGTAAAGAAAGCGATCGATGGAGACGATGATCCGGCGAACGTGATCCACGAGCAAGAGGACATTCTTTTCGGTGCATGCCTGTGTACAGAATACAGGATAACAAACGGATTAACCGCGTGACGGTAGAAAGTGCTGATAATAGTTCTTTGTGAATTCTAGCATGAGGTCGAGGGTGCACTCGGGTAAATCCTCGACGCACTTCGCAGGATTGCCGGCCAAACGGGTAAACGAAGGAACTACGGTCTCTGGCGGGATCACGGCTCCATCCTCGATGTAACAACAGTCCTTCAGGACGCACCTCCTTCCCTGGATAGTGGAACAAGCACGATTGCTTTACCGATATAACGTGTATAATAAAAAAATCTATGTGTACAATAAAGAAATTCTTCAGTGTATAACGTGTACGTACGATTACTGCGTTTTTCCCTATGTATATGTATGAACCGACGATGGCCGCGTTTACCACAGCTCGTTCTCCCACGAACACGTGGTCCCCCATCGTCAGAGGAAAGAAGGCGACGCTGAAGAAACGAAACGGAAACGAATAAAGCGATGAACCGATCTATTTTTCTTAGATTTTCGACGAAACCACCGGCCGAGCCAGCTTACCAACCCTTTGCTAAACTTCTTAAACGGCGGCCTTATGATGGCGTTTTTGCTGATGATACAATAACGTCCCGTCCTGACGTTGGCTAAATCGCCTCTGATAATAGCGTCCGATTGTACGATCACCTTTCCGTGTAAAACGATATTCTGCGAACCGCATAGAACCGTCTGCCTGCTTACCTTATTCCCGGAAGCCTAAAAGGTTAGCGCGAGAGGTTAGGTTCGATTCTATATACCGTTCGATACGATTAATCGTTCTCCCTTCTCTCACCGTCTCGACGTACTCCGCCCTGCTGTAATACACGTCCTGAGGTTCCATGCCGTTTACCGATTCTCTCGCTTTTACAAAATCTTCGCTCAGCTTTTCTAATTTCGTGAAACGTCAAACACGAATGAATTTTTGTCAGCTGATGTCAGCTATCGAGCTTACGACGACGCCTCCTGTCGTTATTTTCGCGAATCGCATTGATCCGAAAGAGGTCGCCATCTAACGAGAAACGCTTCAATCATTAAGCCCGTGGCGGTAACATTCGATTCGATTCGATTCGATTCGGTTCGGTTCGATATTCCTTTCGGAATTAGAAGAGAAGGAGCCTCGAAAAGAATCATAAGAGAATGAAATTGATTAACGATTTCCGATCAAGTTCTATCGGATGACTAGCCACGTCAACGAATCGAATTAATAACGAATCGATTGGCAAAGCTGACGAGTGTTTTGAAGTCTCGACACCATAGTAACGAAAGGGGTGGGAAGACGTCAGGCAAGGGAGGCGGTACCGAGCCACCATACAATTCTCTTTTTCTGCTAAAATCGCGTCGACAGTGTAACGGCAATGTCTCTGTTCAACACGAAAGAATGGTGGCGAACGAGATGCGGAGCGGAGGAAACTTTCGACAGGCACAGCCTGCTGGCGACACCGTTGTTTGGAGAGGATAAAAAGGATATATTGGTGGTAGGAAGCCACGATGGTTATCTGAGAATGTACTGTCCCTCCTCGCAATGGGTGGACGAAACGAAATCGCCGTCCAACTACAAATCCACGGATCAGATGATCGAGACCCGAGTCGGAGATTGCATCGTGGACATGAAAACGGGGAAATTTGTCTCGTGAGTACTTGGAATCATAAGGGCTTACGAAACGAATAGATGAACGAATTTTCCTCGTGCTTACAGGGGCTCCCAGGACCTTCGTCTGGCGATATTGACGTCCTCGAAGCTGCTCGTTTACAACGCGATTTTAACCGAGGAATCCACGGAATACGGTTTGCACAGCTCTCACTTTTACGATCTGCGAGTGTCTCGGTCTCGTTTTGTAGGGCGGAGCGTCGGTTTTGCAATCGGTTCGGTCCGAAATCGAGCGCGACAGGACGCGTTAGAAATAATGGTCTGTTCGATGTTCGACGTGTTCGACGGACAGCTTTCACGCGAGAATCGCTGCGGGCCAAATTGTTGAACATCGAACGTTCACCGTTCGATTGCTCTTCTTCCAGAGCCGGGAGCGTATTTCTCTAAAATCTGTTGTCGATACTTTGCGACAGGTGACCGTTGCGAGTTGAAGATCGCGTACGAGCACTCGTTGCCAAGATTTCCGGCATCTCTGACGGTGGGTCCGTTCGGCGGTGTTCGTGGCAGGGACTTTCTCTGTGTTCAATGCTTGGACGGCACGCTTCTATTCTACGAGCAGGAGGTGTTCGCGTTCGGGCAAGTTCTCAGGAATCGGTTGCTACCCGAGCCGATCGTCTACGTGTCGCGATACGACCTGTTCGCGGTAGCCAGCTCTTCTTGGTTCCTTGAATGTTACAGGCAGGAATTACTCAAAACGACAGTGATCTTATACGGAGAACTACCCAAGTGTTACACTCACTTATTGATGAAACTTTGCCAGCTTGTAGAGCTCATCGAGCTGAACACGCCTATACCCCGTTTTGTGGGCAGACGTCTAATTGTTTGAAAGATATTAATAATTAAAGTTAGACAAAATAGAATATAGAATTTTAATTTAGAATTATGTAGAATTTTAGTTATTTAAAAAGGGACAAATTATCATTAAAAAAAAAAAAAAAAAAAAAAAAAATGGGAACCAAGGATTTGAACCAAGGACCTTTAGATTTCAAGTCATGTGTTTAACCACGGAGCGGATCCATGACTCGCAATCTGAAGATCCTCGGTTCAAATCCTTGGTGCCCAACAATTTTTTTTTTTTTTTTATGAAAATTTTTGTGTAATAGTTATTCAAAAAGAGACAAATTATCATTAAAAAAAAAAAAATGTTGGGAACCAAGGATTTTACCGCGGATCTCTAGATTGCGAGTTGTATGTGTGAGTTTGTCATACATCACATCAGAATGTAAGGTGTAACTAACTGTAGTTGTTAATATCTTTTAAACAATTAGCCGTTTGCCCCCAAAAGGGGATATAGGCGTGTTTAGCTCGACAAGATCTACAAACTGGCAAAGTTTCATTAATAAGTGAGTGTAACACTTGGATAGTTCCTCTTGTTAGACAGATGGGTATATCTCGAGAAACGATCGTTTCGCAGGTATCAGAGCATGGCGGAATCGAGGAAGGAAGGCGCTGAACGTGCGAGAGAAACGGGAGAGCCGCATCGCGGTTTCGACGTAGGCAACCTGGAGCCGGATTGGAGTTTCAACGTCGGGGAACCCGTTCGCGGCATCGAGGTTGTCACTTTGACCAGCTTCGAAGTCGGGATCGTGGTTCTGGGCGAGAAACATCTGTACTGTTTAAAGGACAACTGCGCGGCGATCAAGTATGCCAAGAGGCTCGAGTACAGACCGTTGTGCTTTCGAGCTTACGTGATCGGTAATTGATAAAGACGCGAAGGGGATAGGATAAGAAGCGCGTTGATCGATCTCGCTTAATCGTTTCAGAACCGGACGGCAAGTTGATGGTGCTGGTCATCTCGGACACGAGTACTCTGATGATCTACGAGGGCAGCACGCTCAAGTGGTCGGCGCAATTGCCTTTCGCCCCGGTCGCCGTCGCGAGGGTTCAGCTACGGGTGAGTCGCGTTACCTACCAAACTCCCAAGGAGCTAGTGGTAAAATGTCGGTTTCTCGGACGCGAGATCCTCGGTAAGGAAGCTGGCCGACCGATTAACGAGAAACATCGAGATCAGCGGGAAAGGGTAATCGGAGCGCGAAAAAAGGACAAAAAGCGAGGGCAATTATCGCGAGGACGTTATCTCTCGCAGTTATCGTGGCGCGCGCAAGGTTGCCGTTCTTGTCTTTCCGGAAGATAGACAAGCCGTGAACGCGCTCGGCTACCGTCGTCGATTAATTGGCTCGATACCGAGAAGCCCGCCTTATCGACGTCCACGCGGACGTCCTATAAGTTTATTATTTTTCGTAGCACCTGCAAGGAGTGACGGTCGTTTTGTCGGAGGACGGTCGTTTGGAAGCGTGTTACCTGGGATCGGAGCCTAGCTTGTTCGTCGCGCCACCCCTTCATCCGCGGGGGTACGATTACGCGACCGCGGAGCAACGGCTAGCGGAGCTGCGAGCCCTCTCGAAGAGGAGCAAAGAATCGGGTGAGGGCACGGGTTAGGTCGAGGCGTTCGAGCGAGACATCGCTGATAACGCGTGTTCCGAGAGTTGATCGATGGATGGGTCGAACAGGTCACGATCGAAGCAGCGACGCCAGCGTGGACGGTGAACTGATCGTCTCGGTGAACGTCTCGCCGGAACTGCAGCCGCGCTTCAAAAGATCGACAGTTAGTAGCGATTCGGAGGAGAAAGAGGAAGCGGAGATTGGACAGCTATCGAGCTGCAGGCTCTCGATCGAACTGTCCTCGTACGCGACTCTCAGTGACATCCAGGTCTGCGTGGACGTTTGTCGGCCGCTGTTCGCCTCCAAAGACTTCTACGTACTTTCCAATCTCTGTGAGCGATCCAAAGTCGAAGGATCGATTTCAACTCGAATCGATATTACAAGACGCGTGAAACTTTTCAGGCGAACGTCACGTGACGGAGATCGAGGTCTACGTGGACGGAGACTTGCCGGCGATATCCTCGGAGGTCGATGTAACGGTGACTTACCGGACGGACGCGGGAAATCTAAGGGCGCTTCGAAGAACCGTTCGGCTACCCTTGAAGATCATCCTGAAGAGCTGTCCGCCGGAAAACGCGTCCGCGTTCGCGACCGTGATCAAAAGCAACGAACCTCCCGTCAGCTTTGCTCAGCTATTTCCTGGTAAAATTACTCGTAAATTTTCATCGCTCCCCTCTCGTACCTCCCTGAAAATTACGGTCCGGAACGTTTTACCCTGGACGCCGAACCGTGTTTCTTTCTTTTCCCTTGTTTTTTCGTAGCCGTCGAAAGCCCGGCCAATTCTTAACCGTGTAATTTCGATCGAGCCGCGTAACGAGCGTTTCGTTAGGTTAATCGCGGTCGACGGGAACGAGCAGCCTTTCCTACCGCTCCTCCGACCAGATAATATCGCGTACCATTTTTCTTAGAATTCACCGGGGAACAGCCGCAGAAACAAGGCTGGAACGCGTTGGGATTGCGGTACGCGCACACCGGTCGCGTGGTGACGATCGTTTCCGGCAACGCCAGCAATCGATACCGAGTGCAATCGGACGACGGGCTATCGACGACCTTGCTCGTTCAACGACTGATCGACAGGCTGAAAGAGAGAAGCAGCGGCACCGGGTTCCTCGCTATCCAACAGAATCACGTTCAGCTGGTGCACCTTCGGATAGAGGCTCACTTTCTCGCTCGACGAGAAATCGATAGGATAACGGTGCGTCTCTCGTTATTTTTCCTCTTTCTGAACGACGTATGCACGATTTCGTTTGCACGGACCAGAAAGAGATCGGCTTGCTGAGCACTCAGCTGAGGAACGTCGAAAGGAGAATGCTGCGAACTGTGAGGGAGAGGAACGATCGATCGTTGGCCGACACTGGATTGCCGTTTCTCTTCGAGCAAACATGCCGTGCGATCTTTGCTCTTCTCGAGGATCTCGTCAAAGCGAGAGCGGTAAAAAGCGAAACGACTTCGAAACTGTTGGCGAACTCTCTTTGTTTAAACGATCCGCGCGATCTTTGCAGGAAAGGGATCGAACCGGTCACGAGTTGCGGTGCAGCCTGAAACTGCTGCTCCTGCTGATGAGATCGAACGCGGACCCCGACAAATACGCCGCGTTGGAGGCAGCTATCGGTTTCGAGCCACGGCCCGCCGAGCAGCTGGTGAGCAAATACGAGCGACGAGGATTATCTTTCATTCTTGAACGCTAACGATTCGTGTCTCAGGACTGGGAAGAGATCGCCGACGCGGCGCTGACCGTTCTGCTCAAGTCCGTTTCGAGGAAGGCGAGTATAGCGGAGACGAGAACGGTGTCCAGCAACGCGATCACGCCTATCGCGACGAACAAAGAGCTGGCAAAGTTGAAGAAGCGTCTGGTCCACGCGATCGAACGGCTGGATCTTTCTAAAGGAAGCGACATCGCGGAGATCGAGTCGACGAGCGGCGCCGATCACGCGTCCGCTTAACGAGCGCGGGCGGTACCCTGGTTCGCGGGGTGCCGTGTTTCTCTCGTGGAAGCTGAGCGAACGCGGAAAACGCGGCTATCCAGAGCGGACGGCACAAGTTCGCTAGAGAGCGTTACGTAAGTAGCCGCGTATCATCGCGGCTGGGATAATTTTATTCATCGTGCGGTCTGTGGCCTACGATCCGACTCGCAGCATACCGATCCGACTCGTACGCGTGGAAACGCGCGGCTCGAATCGCCGCGATGATTCATTCTGGCGCCGCGATTCTGCTTTTCCGAGGTTAATCGATGGAAGAATCGCTAGCCGAGAGATTTGCCTTCATCAACGACAGTGCACGCCTTGTTTCAATTACCATTTTCTTCTTCTACATCTTCATCTTCCTCTTCTTTTCTTTCTCTCCTGGCTCTTCGCTTTCTTTCTCAACCAATTTTTCGAGTGGATGCCTCTCAACGTCGTTGTTTGCCCGCTCGTCCTCGTTTCTTTCTCGAAACGGCGAACGGTTTATCGTGATGGCCTCTGGTTCGGTCTTTCGTTCGAGGTCGATTCGCGGAACGAACGTTCCTGGTCGGATGCGACGCGTTAGAGGAAAGACCGCATCCTCGATGAGACATCCACCGACGAAGCAAGTCGCGCGAGTCTTTCCGTTTCCCTTCTTTTTTATGCCTCGTGGTCGCGCGTGCGCGTTCTCGCTTCAACACCGATTACGTGGAAATTCAACCGCGGCTTGGTAATCGTCCTTCCTAGAAGAACGAACGATCTAGCGACGACTTGGACGACTTGGACGACGACGATGACGTTCGATTCGTTGCATCCCGTGCTCCTGCGGTATGCGAAAACGATCCTTTTTTCCACGGTTGCACGCGTCAAGAAATGCGGCGCGAGCTGCGAGTGGTAGGGCGCGATGGTGCGAATCGGTGCCGCCTCCGGAAGCAATTGATTGCGAGCGCCGCTAATTAGTTTACCACGCCGATAATGCTTGCGCGTTTTTGCCACGAGGATCGGCAACGGCTGGTGTTCGAGTTCCTTCGTCTCCCTCACTGACCCCGCAAAAGCAGCGTACACCCACACCTCTCTCGCTCTTTCTCTCGCCGTGCCACATCCTCTTTCCCCGCGTCTCGACGGCTAAAGCAGGATACGTCGTTTCCGGAAACGCGATCAAGATTACGCGCGAACCGTACGCCGCAACCTTCCTTTTTCACGCTCGAGATTGCGTGCTTCTGGACTGGCGACGCAACCGTTTCGACAAACATGTCCGAGTCCAAGTTTGAAGGAGCCCGCACGAGTTATCGTTATGATATTTCGGCAGGGAGGTGATGCCGCCGGCCGGCACGGATGATTTAGAATCGGACCACCTTGCTAAATCGTCGAAACCCCCGGGGACCACCGATGGAGTTGGTTCGAGCAGGTCGTCGGGGTGCGGCGTGGCGTGAGAGAGCGGTAATCGGGGATAACGAGGCGGTCCAACGAAACGGCAACCGACCGACTGGTAGGGGGAGGTGAACGCGGTTAGAATTCTCTCGTTCCGTCCAATTACCTCGTTTCTCGGCTCCTACCCTAAATACCTATTCCCTGTCTTTCGTAGGTCGATATCCGTGAGCGGTCCCGGCCCGGGTTGGGCCGTACCGTCGAACCCTGGGAACCGTCCACGATGCCGTTCTCGACCTACCTGTCGCCGACGTTTTCTTTCAACTTCGGCCCGGCCAGATTCGCCGCCGTTTTGCTCTCGTTCGCTTGCCTTTCATCTCTGCATTTGAAAATATGGCGCGCGTAAATATGGTATATTCTCTCGTGGATCCGGAGGAGCGGTCGCGACGATCCCCATAGTACCAAGGGTTCGCGGTGGATCGTGTTTCTTCCCGTCGAGCGAAAGCAACGATCCTCCTAATGGGATCCATAAATCATCCGTAAGTGGGGACTCGAGGTGGACGCGCGCGGTGCCCGACGACTTTCGAGGATTCGACGAAAATCGTTAAACTCCCAACGAGGGTTGGAGAAACGAGCAAACAGATAGGCCAGACTCCGGCAAATGACTCACTTCCGGGGTATCTCGAAAAAATTTACAACCCGCCCCAGAGTACAGACGTGTTCGAGTTCGAGTTCGAGCTGGAGTCGCGGTTTGCTCGCACTTACAAACGAAACGATCCAACAAATTCCTGGAGGCTCGGCGCGTGCGCGATTCGACAGAAATAGAGCCACCGTTTATCGGGCAACGTTACATCGTAGAACCGGAAGAGAAAATAAATTTCATGACCGTTTCGGAACAGTCTCTCTCATTTTCTCTCTCTTTCACCCGTGTTTGCTTCTGCGATTCGGAAAGTCTAATATAAATCCAGGGTGTTTTCGGATCAAATGGTATCCACGATGCAAGCTGTCGTACGATCGGTGTTTGCTCTTCGAAAAGGAGACGCGTCGCGCAGTTGGATCGACTGTTTCGACGAAACAACGTCCCACGTGAACGTCTGTTCAACGTTTCCTCTCGGTTTATTTTGCTAATTCAAACAAATTTGCCTTCTATACGATCGCGTTTACGACGCGGGACAGAAACGGTCTTTTCGTTCGCGCTCGTACCTTGAAGAAGAAAGAAGAAAAGCAGAGAAATTGAAAATTGCTCCCGTTCGACGTCGCTGCGAAGACATTTGGCGCGTGCGAAATCCTGATACGACCTTGCCGCGAGCGAACCAGGCGGCCAAGCATTCGTACGCGTTCGCACTCGCGTCTATCGAGGATCGATATTGGATACGCGATCGCGGATCTCTTCGATTCGAATTCGAAACGAGTGTCTCACGGATCCGGGCGAAACGCGTCGCGACGTTTCAGGTAAAACGCGAACAATATCGAGTAACGAAGTGGCGACGAAATTCAAATGGGTTTGAATACGGTTCGTTACGCGGGAAAATAACGAGTCTCGAATCCGAGACGAAACGAAGAATCAACGGTACTTTTCTTCCCTTCTTCCCTCCGCGGGTTGCGAGCACTCTATCGTCGTTTTCCTAGAGAACCTTTCGAACCGATGAAACGCGTTTCGAAAAAGAAAAGAAAAAAAAACGCGGTGGCGATCGAAATCTCGCGTTAACGGAACAATCGGAGGGCGTAGGTGGGATTCCAACGCGACCTTGCGCGCTCCTCTCGTGAAAGTTGCAAACCAAATGTCATCTATTACGTCGTTTTATCGTTACTCGAGGTCCCTACGATCGAGGATTCTCGTTCGATCTATCGCGCGGTTATCTGAAACGTGCACGCAACCGACTCGTGCCACTCTCGTTTGAACGCGAGGCGACGACGAAACGGCGAAGAGGAACGGCAAAAACCGCGCTTATTAAGCAGGGAGCATCAAAGTGGTATCGGCGGATCGTGATCGAGCAAGTAGCTTCTGCTTTTGCTACCGCTTCTGCTTCGGCTTCTTGTTTTCTTGCCGAGTGCGCTCATTGTGCGCACTTCCACGAACGAAGTTAACGAGGTAGGTACTCGTTATGAACGTCCGAGCGGTATGCTACGCTCTGCCGAGACTCGAACCGTTCGAGAAGAGTAAAGAGCGATAAACCGAGTAAGACTGAAAGAGATAGAGTACGCATAGAATGTTCGGAGGTGAAGGAAGCTCCAGGAGGCAAGAGAAAGATGGATATAGAAGGAAAAGAAGAGAGGAAAGGCCAAGTACCATCGATAAGCATCTTCGATATGTACAATAGCCAACCGAGTAGTCGTTGCTTTCTCTGTTTTTCCCTTTCTCCGTCTCTTTTCGTTAGCCTCGGCATGAAAGTTTGAACAACCTCCAGGACGGTAGAGGAAGAGCCGCATACCTAGTGCGTTCCGAACCAGTCGATTTGAAATTCGTCGATGGTATCGTAGCTAACGATCGAAACTGTTGTTGTTTGCGAGAAAATCCTCGATACCCCGGTGCCAGGGATATCTGGTAAAAACGCGGTATTATTGAATAAGCGGGCCGATACGATTATCGAATTGGAACACCGTCGATAGAACCGACTCCGCGGCTAGATTTCGAAGAGGCTGTCTCGTCTCCGCTGATCGGCTGGAAAAGCGTTGAAGAACGAAGGGTTAGCTCGAGTCAAAGTCCTCGGTGATCGTACTCGAGGTCGGAAAGATTCTGCCGAACGGAAGCATCGGTATTTTCCAACATGCCGATCGAATAGGGCCGAGGCGCGATAGCCGGCGTCGGCGTCGGCGCAGCGACGCAACGACGCAGTGCCACGGTGACCGCTCTTCTCCTCTTACGGCCGTCGATAGATAAATTTTTTCGTTACCCTAGCGTGATCGCCTTTTTCCGACTCGGGTTCACCGTTTTTTTTTCGCCTTTGCTTCTTCTTCTTCTTCTTCTCTCGTTGATTTTCTCTCGATTTCGGGCGCGCATTAGCGCACAGGTGCGATCGTTGGATTTCGCAAAGTGGACGATCGTTTTCAAACGATAATCGAAACGGCACGCTGCTAATGCCTGGTCGAGAGAGAGCGGGATCGAGTTCGAACCTTCTCCCTCTCTCGTTTGAAACCTCGCGCAGTTTCTCCTCCGCCGTTCTCTTCTTCGCTTCCGAACGAACCCACTCTCCATCTGCTTCACCGTCTCTTTCCTTTGCTCGTTCAACTTGTCGCTTCACCACCGCCACCGCCACCGCCACCGCCACCGCCACCGCCGCCTCCACCGCCGTCTTCCACCATCTCGACGTACATCTCCGTCGTAGCCACCACTCTCGGCTTTCCGATCTCCTTTCCCCGCCGTACCGCTTGCTTGTCCACCGCAGCCACTGGAAGCTCGTTACTCGACCGGCGGCTCGGTGGTGGAACTCGCAACGGAACTTTAGTGCAGCTTCGGCGAGCAGCTGACGCGGAATCGTTGTTAGTTGGTGGTCGGGCTTGCGTCGCGAATGCAGCGGCTCGCTGCAACTCGAACGCTGCATTTCCTTCGCAGATCCGCTTCTTGTTCCGCGCGATCGCGTTTACGAGATTCCACCAGTGACAGCGTTACCGATAACGGCCACGACGAAAACAACAGCGTGCCGCACGAGTAAATAAGAAGATCTCGAGAGGAGGAGGAGGAACGAGGGGCGGAGGAGGATCGAGGAAAAAACAGGGAACGCGTTTCGGACACGTCTCGGAGTTTCCCGCTCGTCAAATGAACGAAGCGCCGGCGTATCGCGAGCAAGAGAAAGTGGCCTCGTCGACGCGTCGGCGCGGAGAATCGCGAGTGCGAGTGCGTGGCGACCTGTCGACGAAATCCTCGACTTCGGTAAGTCGCGATCTACGCGTTGTTTACGGGTGGCCGAGTGGACGCGCGTCGAAGAAACGGTGCGTTTGAAGTAGTGCGTTTGAAACGAAACACGCGCGCTGGATGGGATCGATAAGGAAATAAGATGCGCGATCGATCGCGCGCGATAGAGGATCGAAGACGGCGCGTAGCCGTCTGACAGCTGAGTACGCGGAGCTAGATGTCGCCAGCGACGCAACCTGCTTTGTCTCGCTGATCACTCGAGACTCGGCGCGATGCGACGCGACGCGACGCGACGCGACGCGCCACGCCGGCTCGTTTCGCCTCTGTATATTCTTCTTTCCTTTCTCGTCTTTGCCCGGTTTCTCTTCTCTTCCCTGTTAACTAACAGCCCGCTACTTGCTTTACTCTCGGCCAGCTTCGGCTGGACGAAGCAACGGCGCGTGAGCGCGAGTACGCTCGAGCACGCACACGTACGCAAAGGATCGCGCGCAAGCCCTTCTCGTTCTACGCACCTGTTCCGTTGTTGTCGTTCCGCCGTAGCATGCTTGCACGCGACAACTCGTGCCACTTACTTCCAGTTACTTCTCGCGAGCCGGCCTCTCTGTGCGCCAGCGGAACGCGTCCTCGCATCCAGTCGATCGCGTTCGCCTCCTAGCTTGCCTTTCTACCGCGATCTTTCGTCGTTTCGTCCGCCTTTTTCTCGATAATCCTGATCTATCTCGCGGTCAAAGGATAACGGATAGACAGACGGCAAGTTTTCAGCAGGAACCGGTGTTGCTCCTTCGGGAACACCGGTTGTCGATTTCCCCGAAAGCATTGGGATCGGAGTCGATCGCGAGCTTGCTCCGGTAAACTTGCGTTCGAGCACGCGAGGTCGCAGCCTTCCATCTCTTTCTCTTTTCTTTTTCTTTTTCATTCTCATTCCGATCTTCTTTCCTTCTCTTCGCCCCTCTCGATTTACCTTTTCCTTCCTTTCCTTCAGCCTCTTCGCCGACTTTTCAATCCCGCGATCGAGGTAAAACGTAGAGACGAACGAGCACGTTGTAGCCGCGGAGGAACTAGATTCCAGGGAACACGTGTCGCGATCGGTTTTGCCCACGGCTAGGTTCGAACGCGTCCGCGTTTCGCGCTTTTCGTTCGAGCCTCGATCGAGGTGAACCGCGTTTACGTAACGCGGTGAATCGGAACAATTTTTCCCGCGATTCCGAGGCGCGCGCAAAGACGACGTTTTAGTCGCTAAGCACCGTCTATCGGCCAATATTTGCATGTGAATTTCCTCTCGACGAGTCGAAACGAGGCTGGATCGGAGTTTTCGTCCTCGCGGCTAACGTAATTCCAGGAACGCGAGACCATCTTCCGAGGTATTATCCTCGACTCCTAAATCGGAGATAAACGGAACTCGTCTCGTCCATTAGGATGGTCAAGAAGCGCGAGGAAGAGGGAGAGATAGAGAGAAGAAGAAGAGGAAGAGAACGGTGGACGGTTGACCGAGAGGAGAGAGAAGAGGCGCGCGTTCAACCGCGGAGGGACTCGAGTCGGAGATGAAATCAGCGTTTCGCGGCCGCGATCGCGGAAAATTCTGCTCGACTTTCCCAGCTCGACTCGCGACGTAGGTTTGGCCGCATTTTTTCGTTCGGTAGGAGAGGTCGCGTCGCGACGCGTCGTTGCGCGATTACAGATTATATGCAAATCTCGCCGACTAATCGCCCCCGTCGTCGTTGGAATCCTTTTCCAAACGCGCGTGCTATTCGATTGATCGGTTGCGTAACGCGATACGCGGTATATCGCGAAAACGATTTCTCAAGAAACGGTCACCGAAACGTACGACGATCGTACGATTTTCCGAGGACGTCGCGACGTCGACGGCGACGACGACGCGTCGTAACTTGCGACCGCGTTCGCGCGTCTCTTCTTGGAACAAGCGCAAACCGGCTGTTACGGATTTCCGAAGAAAGATTCCGTAGGTGGCGCGTGACTCGTGAAAATATACGGAGATCTAGCGCAAATATACTCACGGACGGAAGGTTACGACAATAATCGTACGGTGGATGGTTGGGCGCGGACTCGCGGCAATCGAGCACGGATAAGCCAGACCGCGTTTCTCCTTCTCGACCACCGCTCCGATCCCCGTTCCTTTCTTCTCTATCTTGTTCGAGCCGCGACGGGGGTTATTGCGCGCCGCTGTCCAGCCTTGATCCGAATTCGCGTACGCGCCCTCCGCGCTCGAATCCTCTCCGTCCTTCTTCCCTCCTCTGATTTCCTTCCCTTGCGCGACACAGGACCACCTTCGAAAAATTCGCCGTGTACGAATCGACCGGGTACGATCGAAACCATCTTCATCGATACTTTTCTTTCTCTTTTTTCTAGTAAACCGTCGTCGGCGGAGACGAAGGCGAACGGCGAAGCCACGGACGGAACGGTATCGGAGACGAAGATGAAGTTAACGCGATTACATTCGACGCCGTTGGCATTAGCTCTGGCATTGGCTTTGTTTTCGTCGTTCGGTCGTTGCGTCGCCTCGGAAAGCATAATAGGTGAGTTTACTTGCCACGCTTAGCGTCGCTCCAACTTCGAGCGTCGAGCGTCTACTCAGGGGGGTTGTCGCCAATTCGACTACGATCCGCGTTCGAGATATCGAAAGTCAACCAAACGAACGCGAGTCGCGTCACGCTCCATTTGAAACTTTTAAACGCTCTATTCTTAGTCTGTCTCAGCATTATCTGCCGGTCTATTTGTGCGCCGAGTCAGGTCGAATCTCGACTCGATGACTCGAGAGAGCAGGTCGTCGATGTATCCCGACCTTCTTCTTCTCCTTCGTCATTCGTTATCTTTTGTACGCGTTCTACCTCGCTCGATCCTTCAAACTTTCCTCCGTTTCTTTGTTTTTCCCCTAACGACGATTACGAAAGCGATTCGCGTAACTTTTCGCAAACTCGAATGCTCGTTTCGTCCAAGGATTCGTCCACGTCGTTCAAGCCGCGAACGGGAACAAGACAATAGGGGGAAAGGGAAATCGCGAGCGAGGAAAGAGAGAACTCGAACGGTCAGCGCGAACGCCAACGCCGCGCAATCGCGCCGCGTTCTTTCTCGCACGCATTCCTGTGCACTTGGAAAAACAAAAGAAGAAAAAAAGAAAAAGAAATCGCGTCGTTCGCGTAACGTTCGCGCAACTGAGTCGAGACTGGCAACGAATTCGATTTTCCGAGACGTGGCGAAGCAATCGAGGGAAGAAAGGGACGGAAGGAAGGGTTATGGAGGAAGGGGATGAAAGACCGTTTTTAAAGGAAGGTTGCTTAAAGTGTGCAGGAATACGTGCGCGCGAAGCATCCGAGAGAGGGACGTCGACGATGGCTTCGCCGACCTACCGACCAAGATCGTTTTCGATGGATCGCGCCTGGCGAAAGGCTGACCGAACGAACGAACGAAAGAACAATCGTTGATATTTATCCTACGATGCGCACGGGGCACCGGGCACCGCGCGTCCCGAGAACGGGCAAAATCTGTCAGCACGTAAGTAACAGCAGCTTACGATCGTTCCCTGCGCCTCGACGTCTCTCTTGACGAGTGCATTCGCGAAACGGGTTAAGAAATCGCGAAGCGCGCCGATTCCCATCTTCCGTCGCGATCAACTCTCGCTGTTATTCGTTAACGGTGACGTTTGCTCTCTGATTGCAGGAAGTCGAGAAACCTGCGACAGCGAGGGGGAGGATTTCACCGTGGACAAAATCCCAAACACCAGATGCTTCAATTGTTTGTGCAAGGTAAATCGAGATGCAGTTTTTAGCGATTCGTTTGAAACGCCGCGATATTCCCTTCCTCTCTCTCTCTTTCTCTCTGTCTTTTTCGGATAGATACACTGTTGTCGAGAAACGGCGAAAAGGTCGCAGCGCGTCGCGCTATCTAGACCCGAACAGCGTAAAAATGTTTGTTAACGAACGTCGATGTTTGCAGAATCGTCGGAGCGCGCGCGGTCAACGATTATCGGCACGTTTGGCTCGACGACGCGCGAGAAACGCGATTAATATCGCGAAACGAACGCAAGTCCTGCGAAGGAACGAGAGCTCGATCGACCTCGAGGACGTTCCGAGCCTCCTTTTCTTCGCTCCTTTCGATTTCGCTGGCGGGCAACGCGCGAACGGAAGCCTCCTTTCGCGCGTTCACTCGCCACCACTCGGTTCGCGATTGCGCACGCTGTAATCGTTGTTATTTTCGAGAGACGCGCGCGACCTTCTCGCGTTCTCGCTGCGAGACCACCCGTGACCCTCGTTAAATTACTTTACGTAATTCGAACGTCAGATAAATCCCAAAGGTTTAATTATAGAGCTCGCGATAAGAGGCGAGAGAAAATTACACCAGAGTCCGACAGATAGCCGCGTTTCAGAGGAAATTCAGCGAAAAATCTTAGCGACAAAACAGACGGAACATACTTTTTACTACTTTTTCTTTTTTCTTTTCTTCTTCTTCGCAGAACGGTTTCGTCGAATGCAGGAAACAGCAATGCCCTAGCATCGAAGGTTGTTACACGCTGCTGGAACCGCGCGAGGACGAATGCTGCCACAGGTGCAAAGGTACGGGGGAGAAATAAGAAATGGTAATGGGAACACGGGATCAGGACCTCGAACCATTCCGTTCGACTAATCGTCGAAATCGCTCTAATTTCTTCGAGTTAGGGTCGCGAGAACGCGTTCGCGAGAGAAAGAGAGAGGGATGCTTGGAATGGAAGCGAGAGTGGGAGAAGGAGAGAGCGGATAAACCAAGGAGCGAACGATCGACTGATTATGAGAGGAAAAGAGAGAAGAAAGAGATAGTGCGAGCAAGAGAGAGAAAGAGAAAGAGAGAGAGAGAGAGAGAGGAATGTTTCAGCGAGAGGAATGTCCGGGGCGGAGCATTGTTCGTTGGGCACAAAGGCGCTTCTGTTCGTCGATACGCTGATAAACCCGGGGAACTTCGGCATCGCCGCGTCCGAGACTGTTTACACCGGCAGCCGTGGACGGACAGATGCTTTGCTCGGCCGCGGCCTTCTTATCTCCTTCTCTATTAATTAGACGTGACGCATTAAACTCGTCCTTATTCGCGCGGTCAACCACGAAATTTTTCGACTTTCGAAAGAACTTAATCTCTTTCTCCCTCGCTCCGTTTCTGTCTGTCTGTCTGTCTCCGTTCGCTGTCGCTGTTCGTCGCGACGCGACGCGACGCGGTGATCGTTCGTTTCGAATTTGCTCTTCGTTCGGTTATATCACCGGTACTTTTCCGTTTGCAATTTCGCCGAGAGGAATAATTGATCGGGGGAGGAGGGCACGGATCACCGTCCGCTTAGAATCCGCTACGTTTTCGACCGCTCAAAGTCTAGACACCGAACGAAACTGTGTGTGTCTGTGTGTCGAAAAGGTTGCGTACGGAACGGAGCGTATCACGAATCGGAGACCGAATGGACCGAGGGAAACGACCCGTGCAGAATCTTCACTTGCAAGGCCGGAGTGATCACCGAGTCTCGGCTACACTGTTACACGCCATGCTCGAATCCGATCCCGGCTGCACCCGGTCACTGCTGTCCCATCTGCGTGGGTAAGTAAACTCGGCCACGAACTAAGGGAAAAGGTAAAGAAACGAGAGGCTTTTCGTTTGCGCAGGATGTCACGTGAACGGGCAAATGGTGACGGCGGATAGATCGGTGACGACGACCGAGGATCCTTGCGTGACTTGCAGATGCAACACCGGCCGTCTGACGTGCGCGAAGCAAGCTTGTCCGGTGTTGCATTGTCCTGCCTCGAGGATCGTCCACGATCCCGGAGAATGTTGTCCGCGTTGCAAAGGTACGTCGCGTCGCAAAGTTTTCCCGTTTACGCGTCTGAAAATCGCTGAACCTGAATCGCGTGCACAGGTAGCGGTAGATATTTGTCGCCGCCCAAGGGCGCATGCATGCTAGGGACGGCCCTCCACAATTCCGGCAATCAATTCTACTTGGATCAATGCACGCGATGCAGTTGCTCGAATTCGGCCATCTCCTGCGTTCGTGAAACCTGCCCCGTCCACGATTGCCCGACGGAGCATCAGATCGTTCTACCGGGCCGTTGTTGCCCCCAGTGCCCCGAGGTCGAGGAGGTTCGACCGTCTTGCACGTACGCGGGCAAAACTTACGGGGCAAGTATCTCTCTGTCCGTCGTCGTATCGAGCTATTCATCGAGATAAGATTTAAAGGTTGCTTTTTTTTTGCGCTAGGCAGGATGGCGAAACTTGGAAGCTAGACTCGTGCAAGGCATGCGCTTGCATGCAAGGTAAGGTACGATGCGCGATGCCGATGTGTCCACCGTTGAATCTACCCTGCCCTCCGAACTCGAGGCTGGAGCATCCCGAGGGGCAGTGTTGTCCTCGTTGCGTGGAAAGTAATGTCGTTCGCTGGTTTAAGAGTGCACGACGTCGGTATTGGTTCGTGCACGACGCGCAAACCGTCGCTAACCGATAACGGTTCCTACACGAGATGCCATTTTCACCTTGTACAGGCGACGGCGTGTGCACGGTGTTCGGGGACCCGCATTATCGCACGTTCGACGGAAAGTTTTACAGCTTCAAAGGAGCGTGCAAGTATCAATTGGCCAGCGATTGTTCCGGGCACACGTTCAGCGTACGGGTGACCAACGACGCAAGATCGAGCCGGTTCTCAGCGTGGACGAAAACGATCGCCATCAAGGCGAGTATACATATTTTAAATAAGTTTTCCCGCTGTTGTTTCTTATCTCTCATCGATCGATCGATCTTAGGTGGGCGATTTGAAGGTGAATCTCGGTCAAAAGATGCGCGTTAAGGTGAACGGGAAAAAGGTGGAGGTGCCGTATCGCGTGGCCGACCGATTGGACGTGAACCGAACGGCGGACAGCATAATCGTGAGCACGCAGATCGGAATCAAGGTTCTTTGGGACGGGATCAGTTTTCTCGAGGTATCGGCGCCGACTTCGTACAGAGGCCGGCTCTGCGGTCTTTGCGGCAACTTCAATTCTCTACCGAAGGACGACTTTACGAATCGAAGGGGCAGATTGGTGCAGGATCCTCAACCGTTCGGCCAGTCGTGGCTGGTGGGCGCAAAGAGAAGCTGCACCAGACCGAAACCGGCGGCAAATCTCGATCGGGCCAGGCGTTGTCGGGGCCGAAAGGATCATCGGTAAGGGAAACTTTTCCATTTCTATTCGATTCTAACATTCTCGTTATCCTTCTACTTCCGATTCTCGTAGATTATGTAACCGATTGAGATCGCAAATCTTCGACGCGTGCCACAAGAAGGTGAACCCGACCATGTATTACAAGGCTTGCCTGCAGGACATGTGCGAGTGTCCGAGCGAAAACTGCTACTGCGAGTCGTTCACCGCGTACGCTCACGAGTGCAAGAGACTAGGCATCCAGCTGCCTCATTGGCGAAAAGCGACCAGATGTCGAACCGGTTGGGACCAGAGCGTACGTTCGTTGGCACTCGTACCGCGTTTACCTTGACCCTTTCGACGGAGCTTCGTCGATTACGTCGAGAATCGCCGAATCGCCGAATAGTCGATCGAACGCGACAAGTTCGGCCAATTATCTGCTAGTCACCGTATCTCCCGTGAACGCGCGCGCGTCCGTCGTTCCCCGTCGACGACCATCTCGTGCCCATCTACCCCCATCTTCTCCCAGCGCGATCCTTTTTTCGAGCTCGGACGATTCCGAAGCACCGTGCAGTATTTCGGCCGATGAGCAGGCTCGCGGCATAGCGTCTACGTCCCAGGGTGACCGTGTCTCTTAACGCGTATTTCTTACCTCCATCCCCTACTGCCCTCCCCCTCGACCCATTCAAGTCCCAAAAATCCTACGCGTAGATTTAAGCGAAATCCACTTTTCTCTCTTCTCTATGTTTTCTCCTGTTTTACCGCGTGTTTTTCTCTTTTCCTCTTTTCTCTCGTTTCTATCCCTCCCCCACCTCCTTATCCTCTACCTGTTCGAATTCTTTCCTTAATTCCTTTTTTCTACTCGTTGTCGTCTGACCTTTTTTTTCCACTTTATCTTATCTAATATAAAATTGTACATAGCCCGAATATAGACACGTGCGTATGCATACGCGTGTACACGTACGTATAAGTATACAGACATAACCAACATCGTTCCGTGCGAACAATCGCGAATGTACCGCGAATATACCGCAAATAGTCCAAAGCCTTAGCTAATTTGTATCCGACTATGTTAGCGTAGAGATATTTTGGCTCGCGTCGAATACACAAGAAATAAATCAATTATATTCGTACACATGTCTGTTATATATGTACACTTACCAATGCCGAATCCTTCTCCCTTTTCCCCTCTTTCTCTGCCTCTATCCGAGAAGAGGGCGAAGCAACTTCGACAAGGTGAGCGAAATCGAAAGTCAGTTTAACGACTGTCGCTCGTTGAAACCCAATTGCCTGAATGATTGGACGAGATTAAACGGAAATTTCTTCGTTTCGTTTGCTTCGAATTATAACTTGTTTTTCACGGATTTCTCGGTTGCCGCGTGATCGAATCAAGGACCAAACGATGGCGCGCGGATCAACGGTGTACACACCGTTTCGAAAATAGATGAATTCGATTCGAGATATTCGCGCGATCAACAGTTTCCTGCTCGCAAATATTTTTGTGCGACGCAACAATCACGCACGGCCGTGTAACACGTTCGAACGAAGCACTCTCGAACGAGAAACGTGACACACTTTCGATAACGTCTAACGCAAGAATATACGCCGCAAAATTCGTCCTCGATAAACAGAAGAAACGCGAATAAGCTTTACCGCGCTCGAACAATTAAACTTTCGACGACTAACGCTCGCACCATGTGGCGTCTTCTCGCGGAGGTGAACGGAACCATAGCGAGCGTGGCGCTACTGTCGCGTCACGTGACCACTCTACGATTCCCCGCGAAATTTCAAAATGGTCGATACCGTATGGGCGCAAAGACACGAGCAACTATCATCGTTCATGGCACGATTCGAAACTTTTATTACGACATTATAAATGCACAAAAACATCTTAAAAATATGTGTGTATGCGTGAACGTGTGTATAATCATGCGACGTATAATCGAGAGAATAACAGATTTAATTACAGCTTCGAGAATGAACGGAGCTACGCGGATTATATTCGCTAGGGTTCCAATATCTTTCATTTATTTTTTTTTTTTCCTCTTTCTTTTCTTCTTATATTTGTGAATAGGAATTTTTACGCGATCGAACAAGCAGACTTCGCACCAAGCAACGTAACAAAACTAGAAAATAGAATGATTATCTAAATGATTCTGAAACGAGCTTTGAGAAAGCTGTTTCGCTATTCTTACCCTTGGATCGTTTTAACGAAAAATTGTTTGAAAAAGCAAAGTGGCGGTAAACGAGTGTGCCTGTTCGTCGCGACCATGTCGAAAACTGCATAAACTGTACCGTTCTCTACCCCTTACCTTTGAAAAGAAAGTCCAACGAGAAATGATGGACAGACCGTGACGGATAAAACGGACATACCAAAGGAGAAGAGAGCAAAAAACGCGAAAGGTAAAAGGAACGAATGGTAAACGATCGTGGAAGAAAAAAATCAATGGGAAAGCAAAGAAGTCGATAGATGAGAAACCTAAAGGAGCGGAGACAAAGACAGAGAAAGATAGATATCAATGGAAAGATAGAGAATGAAATAGAGAGAGGAGATAGAGAGAAAGTGAAAGAAAAAAATAGAGACCCAGAGATATCAATGCCTATATCGAACGGTCCATTGACAGAGGTATCGGTTCTGTGTGTCTCTATTAAGAAACAAGACAACACAATTCTTGTAAAATCAACTCTCACTTATTTGATATTTTTCTATAATCATCCGTGAAACGAGGATTCGAGCGATCGAGCAAGCCGCGGATCGATCTACGCATTCGCGATGATACGAATGGAATCGAGTCGAAGGGTGTTCGATCACCGAACCACGCGTTTTCCATCGTCTTCGAGGCAACTGTCGCTATCTTATTATTTTCCCTCGAGATCGTTCGTTAGCGACGATCGACGGTTCCTCCAACGTACACGCGTCAAGCCTTCGTTCGATCATCTTTACGCGCGGTACCTCGTTTCGCAACGTTCGATTCGAATCGTGTAGAAGCTGAAGAGAACGCTACGAAAGGTGTCACGCGGCACGGTGACGAGAAAAAGTGTGTCTCACCTACTCGATCACGAGTAGACGATAGAGCAGAAAGTAGAGGAAGAAGAAGAAAAAGAAGAATCATCGCCTACGCGTTTACGCGGTCGATTCCATGTCGAATCTCTTTTCTTCGTGTCCTTCCTTCCTTCCTTCCTTCCTTCCTTTCTTCTTCCATCAATTTTTTTTTTTTTCAATTTCTTTTTCTCTAATTTTTTTTGGTACAAAAATAGATCTCGAGCACAGGTTACGTAGTCTCGCGCTAGAACATTTAGGATCTAAAGGAAACTCTGGAACGCGTCGCTGATTCGAACCAGAGCAGAAATTGCGCGAGGGTTATTTTGGACATATCGATAAATTGGCGTTGAACGAGCCACGCTCCTGGAACCACCGTATACGTTAATGATTGTTACACCAGCCGTTGAACGGAGGTTGGACCGTAAACGAGGTGGCGGATAAGAGCGAAGCATCGCATCGACGAGACTACGTAATTTCGCCCGATCGAAGAACAAGATTGGATCCACCCGCTGAATAAGGGGGCGAGAACTACGAGAACTACGATATTTACTTATTTATTTTGGAACGCGCTTAATTCAGACGTAACTCATATGTATTCGATTTGTTCGATATACTCGCAAACTCGTGTCTTTCCGTTACTGGACGATCGGGGATGGTCGATGGTAATGGAGGAAATACGATTCGAACCCTCCTACGAGTACAACGGTATCGCTGTGGACCTCTACTCGATCGATCTCTCTCGTGCTCTTTACTCTAGATTTTCAAGTGAAAACGAATGGATAAGAAAGGTATAAGGAGCGATATCTTTGTAACCTGGAAGATTGTCGTCGTTTCCTTTTACCTCGGCCTCCGTGGTCGAACGTATTCGCTGGTCGCTTGCCGAATTGCCAACGCGAAGCGTATAAAAAACAAGACACCCACCTAACCGTCCAGGTCGACGCGAGCCGATCACCTACCTCTACGACACATTACGCGCAGTTTATATCGACAGGTAATAATTAACCCTACGATCGAGCGTCGGCAAGCAGGCCGACCGAAAACAGAGAAATCGAGGAGGAAAACGGTTCGCGGCGGGGATCGAGCGAAAATTCAAGATTCTCGCCTTTTTTCTTTTGCGTTCGGTCGAAAGCTTATCCCATTCGAAGTTTCACGGAGGTTTTACCAATTTCATTGGGCTCGATCGTTCTCGGTCTCGTTCTCGTCCTCGATAACGCGAGCCGATACGGGCCCGATAAAAAAAGCGTATATCACCGAATGCGAGGATTTCAGGCACGAAAAGAGCTTTTTTTTTTCTTCAGGAAGTACCGAGGCGTTGCCCTTCCACGGTCTCGGGGCTCGAAGAGGAAGCGGAGCGGGCTATTCTGATTTCGCGAGCTGTGAACGCGTCGGAAACGAAACGACCAAGCGTCGCGCGATCGTCAAGCTTCGATCGCTGAACGATCGGATCGACTGGAACGATTCAACGATGAACGAGTAACGCAAACTTGCCGGCAAACGATCGAACGAAGAGATAAAAGGCACGTTGGTCGTTATTCGTCCAACGTTTTCAACGTCTAGGGCGGTGATCACTTGCCCGCCAGCACCGAATTACCCGTAACAGTCGTCAACGACTCGATCTATCCTCGCCTCGCACTTCGTTAATTATTATATGTTAGTCGTTAATTTTATTATCGACACGAAATTTATCGAGCACGTAACGTCGGAGCAGACGAATCGACCTCTCTCAAAAAAGGTACTCCATATTCGTGCTTCGATTGTATCGATCGGTTATAATTCCCTGTACGTGTATATGTATGTTGCTGTATGTATACGTACGTGTGACCTGTGTGAAGGGTGTAAATTTACGTTACGCCGACACGATACGATAACGTTCGCATCGCTGATCGATTTCAATCCGTCTCGTAAGACGATAGAATTCAAGGACTCGACGTAACTACCTAATGTATTTCGACTACTTACGAGATTCTTTAAATCGACAAGAAGTGGAACGTTAACGAAATGCAAATAGAAATTTACAACGCGTAACGTGTAATATCCTTATAATGTTTTATATAGTATGTATACGTAGTCGTATGATGATAATAATAATAATAATAATAACAACAATATGTTCATTTGGAAGGCGACAGTAGAATCTACTGAAATAAACGGATAATAATAACAACATTAGTGGTAATAGGAATAATAATAATAATGTACGCGGAGAAGGAGGAGAGCAATACGAAAGTTTATCGGGTCGACCTAACCGCAGGAGGAAGCACGAGGTTTTTTAATCGCGATCGTTCGCGGTTTATCGTCTTTCTTCTTTCCTCGCCGCCTCGCCGCGTTTAAGTAAGAGAAGGATTCGCTCAACGAATCCATCGACGCCGATTCGCGCTAATATATTTTATGTAACTGGTACCGTAATCGTACGCGTCAACGAGCGAGCATGGTAGTATTTTTTTTTTTTCCTTTTTTCTTTTTCGTTAAAAACACCTTGAAGACCGTCCGAGTCCCCTCGGACGGGATAAAAGAGAAGTTTTATATTACGTTTTATATCAACTACGACGAACGTTTCTGTAACGATAACAACTCTGAAAACGAGGAGAACGAGGGAAATTAAAGAAGAGATTTAGGACGGAAGAGAAATAGAGAGGAGAATGGAGATGACGGTGAAAGCCCTGAGTAGTGAAGAGTCGGAAGATGAACACCAGGAAATGGAATTAGAGAGAAAAAGAGAAAATAGGTGTTGTGAAGAGGTTACAACTAGCGGACGAGGAGATATCGATTTAAACGTGTTGCACGAATTCTGGATTGAGAAACGAGAAACCCATGAACTCTGTTTGGTCCAGGTTCATCATAAACAACTTGTCCGTCGGCGTTAAATCCGTGTTCTCCGAGGTGAATTGTTTGTCGAAGTTACTCACATCCTTACGATGTTTCTGTCGAACAACAGAGGAAAAGTATTGTTAGAGTAGATACCTGTTTCTTTCTCTATCCACCATCTTCGCTAGCCGATACTCACGATCTTTGGCTTGAACGGTGGTTGCACCTCGCGATTTTCAATCTTTTCCCAGTCGATTCGTCGGAAAAACGCGTGACCACGTACGTCT